GGTGGCCGCGCCTCCTTCAGGGCTGAGCAGGGACGGTGCGCCTCGGGCTGGGAGTCGAATGCAGGTAGGAGGCACTTTGACCTTTTGGTCTGGTTGGGAGGTGCTGATGTCACATCTCCGGCTTTTCGGGCTTTTTCAAGCAGCATTCCTCAAGCTGTTGGGTGGAATGTTCGGCAGGCTGAAAACTGTCTACATGTCCTACAACGGCAGCAACTACACTGACTTCGAGGTGCCCTATCATAACGCATTCGTTTCTCCTTTGCTTCCTTGCTCCTCTTGCGGAGCCTCAGGATCCTCACTCGGATGAGATGTACTCGAAGTCGATTCGGTACGGCTGGCGGATGGCGGAGGTGATGCTCTTGAGCCGTTTTGCAAGAGGGAGTTTGGGCACATGCGGAGCACTGGGATTTATGCTGCGGGAGCCATAAGACAAAGGTTGTCTTAGGCTCCAAGTCGAAGCTTGGCCATGATGCCTCTGCACTTTTTTGGGCAGTGGCTGTGGGCTTCTTTGCCCGTGGAGGCATTGGCTTGCTTGTTTGCCGCAGCTGACTGGACACACCCTAGTCGTCCGTGAGTCGTTGAGGCTCACTACAAGCAGCTTTGCGAATCTAGAGAGACAGGGACACGTGCGAATGCCCAGCTGTGGAGGCTTCCATCATTGCTTCCCTGCTGTCGATGACGAACCTGATCCTCCATGTCCTTCGGCATCGAATGTCTCTCAGGAGGCTTCCTCCTACAGCGCCTTCCAGTGCCATCAGTCTGGAGCTCTGTGGCAGCTGGCCGAGGTGAAGGATCTCCACCTCGAGCTGTCGGCCAGCTTCCAGGTGCTCTCGGAGGGATATCACAGAGGGTGGACAGCTATGGGGTGGAACGAAAGTGTGAGGGTGCCGGCAAAATGGATAAAACAAGCTGCAGCAGCACTTCCGAGGGCGGAGTACATGCTGACGGATGATTTGCTCGCATCATCCCAGCGTGCTCCAAGACCAAGGTCCCTCCAAGTCTGTACAGATCAGAACAGTGTCTGAAGGGATCCCATGACAGAGTCTCAACGGGCATGAGCTTCAAAGGCAGGGGCCTCAGTCCCTCGATCAAGGTGATAACCGTCGACGCCTTCGCCAACAACCCCACGTGCCCTGGACGGGCAAGAAAGGCTTGGGCTGGTAGATCGAGGCTGAACGCATCGTTTTCGGTCTGCTTCCATCATTCTAATGCTTGAGCTCTATGCCATGCACGGCTGTGAAACCTAGGAGCTCAAGGCTTGCGAGCAAGTGGAAAGTCTGTAGACTAGGTTTTGTCGATACCACGGCTGCCAAGGGTTTGTCCCTGCATCAGTCCTTTGGACACTCCTGTCCTTGCCAAGGCACCCGATTCGCCGGATGCTTGATCCTTTCATCAGCCGCAGCGTGCAAGCGACCAACGACAACTTCAAGCTTCTCTTTGTGGCTGGGCTTTGGCATTCAACTTCAACTTTTTTGTACACTTTTTGGTCCTTTGCGCTGAGACTTCTGTGCTCCCGAGGAGTACAAAGCAGCTGATTTCAGCTTGGCGCCGCTGCCAACTTCGGAGCAGCTGAAGCTGATCGAGGATTTCATCGCAGCTTTGCTCGACAGCTTCCTGCGAGTTCCTAGAACTCATGTCGCCGCTTCCGAGGAAACCCGTCCTCTGAACCTGGCCGACATGGACATGACGCGCTATGGTACACTTCGTGGCATGAACGCCAGCGTGTCTTCCAAGGAGGCGGTCTCCCCAGCTCCTCCATGTAAGTACTGAAGAGACTCTCGAGGAGACTCTGACTGTGAGGTCGCCGTGCTAGGATGCCCCCTGCTATGTGATATGCGTGTGGAGCAACGCATCGCCCTTGGCGGCCTTTCTTGCTTTTGAGAAGAGGCCGTGGAAGACCCGGACGTTTGGAGCTGGCGGTGGCATTACCGAGCCCTCACAGTGTCGTGGCTGGGGGAAAAGCTGTAGAGTGCCTGCGGGTGGCTGCATTCATTTTTGTTTGGTTCTCAGATGGCTTTGTCAGGGCACTTTGGGTTCTTAGGTGCAGAATCTTTACGACGAGCTGCTCCAGTGCTGGCTTGATGTTCACTTCCCAGGCAGGGAGAGGGAGACATCGCTTGATGTCGGAGTCTTCCTGATATCGGGATAGTTGTCTTGAAGCAGGGAGTGCCGAGGAGCAGGACCGGCAGATCCGCGAGGAGCAGCGGGGCGGCATGCTTGGTTGCAGTTGCTTCTGCTCTGCTCTGTCTGACCTTTAGCTGTTACCAGGACCCGGATATCCAACACTGGTGGTCGGTCATGGTGAGGCCATGGAGTTATCCATAGCTTCACAACACAGACATGCAGCCGGCAAAGACATGTGAAGGTTCTCGACTCCTGAAGCCGAAGCCAGCCGAGCCGAAGCCTGCAAACTGGCCAGGCAACTGCGCCCCCTGCGCCGTGCTATCGGTACAGCACCGGACTTCGCAACAGCCGTGCCGACAAGCCGAGGTGTCTAAGGGGATTTCTGGAGGAGTTCAAGTTCAGGGTGACTTGTGTTGCGAGTCTGGGGCTCTCAAACATGTTGCTTGGGTTTCGGCTGTGCTGGGGCGCAGCTTTTTGTGGGTGTTGCTTCCGTGCGCAATTCTGTCGTTCTTATAGGTTTATGGACTTTTCCCGAGGTGTAGGAGTTTGCGGTAGCTGCATTCATCGGGCCGCTGCTCCCGGCTGCGAGGCCTCCGGCAGACTCTCCGCACGATCCTGGTCTGGGTGTCCTGGAGCCTCGTGTAGTGGGAGTACATCGGCTGACGTCACTGTGAGCGCAGGGCAATCTCCGACCCCTTCACGTAAGTTCGCGCAGGATTCACGAGGATGTGGGGCACTCTGCAGCATCCTACGTCTACAACCCCGTGTACACGCCGATGTTTGCACCCAGCTCAGCTGTCCTCACGAGAAGTGGGGCGATTCTTCCACGCCAAGCTCAGGTGCCAGAGGACGGTTTGGGTGTTCCGGTAATTTCCTTCGCCTGGACCCACGCTTGCAGATTCGAGTCGGTAAGGTAGGAATTTTTGGCATTTACTTGGGTCGCCTGTGCCTGTGACTTTCTTTCTTTTAGTGATGATGTGTGTCTTCTGCTTTTGTTGCGCAATCTTGAAGCGGGCTGCCTGCTTGGCCTAATTGGAGGGTGGTTTACGACTTTTACTTCTTGGTGATCCGTGACTTTATATGCTGCGGACCGTATGTTCATGTGTATGTATGTATGTATGTACGTATGTGTGTGCATGCATGCCTATGTCACCTACGTCACCTATGTCTGTCTATTTTACTAGTCTCGCTTATATTGCTGGTATTTACAGGATCTCTGTACGTGCTATGATTACAAGCATTGCTACTATTATTGGCATTGTTGTTATTGTTATTATTCTTCGTCTTCCTCTTCTTATTGGTACTGTTATTGTTATTGTTATCATCATCATGATTATTTCTCTTCCCGCAATTATTGCGATTTGCTATGGTTGTTACTACGAATGCTATACTTCCACATACTATTGGTGAGTTCGTTTTTTGCCGACAAACCTTATTATGGTCGCGACGGTGACTTTTTAAGATGTTGGCTGGTAAAGGCTGAACCCTAGAAGGTCGTAAGCCACAGCACCCACAGTGATTGCGCAAAATCAACGTTTAAAGAGAGCAGGCAAGGGAGCAGAGGTCACGCACAAATGAAAGACACATATCAACCAAAATGACAAGACAGGAACCACCCAAAAACCAGAGTAAGACAACAATATTCGCACTTTTGAGTCGGGAGCGGGCCTGCGCGGGGATATGCCCGGTAGCTTCTTGCAGACAAGGAACACGGCGGCCTACCGCGGCTTTGTCTTCCTCGAGAGGGCGACTCTCCTGGAGGACGCGCCACCCGAGTCCCGAGCGCCGTAAACCGCCTCGTCGAAATGCGGGTGTTTTCTCAGGACCCGCCGGGCTTCTGGTTCGATTCCGTGGAATGTCAAGGCTGGGCTCAGGGCTCAGGGCTCTCTCTCTCTCTCTCTCTGCCCATTTCTCTTCATGGTGCTCCGTGAAGACTTTGAATCTACGTGAACACAGGGCTCTGGTGGTGGCGACACTGTGCAGCTCCCAGTGGAGACACGTCCCTGGGCTGCTTCTCCCGCTTTCAGGAGAAGTTGCATCTCGGCGCAAGACACCTTGCCGCTTTCCTTGTCGCTTTTTTCGGTCGCTTGCTCTCCAAACCTTGATGTGTGCACCCCAGCCAAGGCGGAAGCTCGGAGAGGAGGACAAGGTGCATGGCCGATCGAAGACCCACCTGCATCCCTCTTCGTCTGCATCATGCTTTATCCGAACCAGAGTGTAACACGAGACACGAGACAATCTTTGATTCCTCGGCGAATCCAGAGTTCAGCGAGATTCGGCCAGGCTTTCTCCGAATGTGAGAAGAGCGGCTTCTACAGTTGTGCTGGTCGGGTCGAGACGGCGGTTTCCAGCTGAGAGTGCAGCAGACACCTGCGCCAGAAGATGCGCATAAGATGGAAGGTTGCATGACCTGAATTGAGCTTATGGTTGGCCTAACTCTTGAAAGAATCTGCGAACCCACGCGGCAAAGTGCTTAAAGCACGCGGAGGAAGTCCAGTCTGTTCGCTTGGTGTGTCTGAGCGAACGTCTGCAAGCACGTCCAAAGTTGACGCACTGTTTCAAGTTTTCGAGAGACGCTGGTGCATTGGCGCCGGGTACTGAATGCCATGAGCCACCAGAAGCACCAGGCCGGTAGGCATACTTAGGCTTTGCGAAAGGGTCGATGCGTGAGACCACTGCAGACCCTACGAAAAAAGGTCAGCGCGTCTCACACAGGGCATGACGACTCGGATGTTGCGAAGGAATCGGGCCGTTGGTGCAAGAGTCATGGAATACGAAGGCAAGCATCGCCATGCGTTTCTTGCGAGATGCTGCAAGGGTCTCCCTTTTGGCTCTCGCATCATGGTCATAGTTGGCCGATGGGCACCAGTGGTGCCATGCTACTTAGCAAGAAACGGGCCAGTGAAGTCTGCCGGCGAGGCTTGTTCCGAGCAGCTACAGGCGCCTGCTTCTGGTCGCGTCAGAGCTGCACCCTAAACTCTGGGCCCTGGGCCGTGGCGCGCAGGCGTAGCTGTTCTTTCCCGGGGCGGCCGCGTCTGGTCGGCTGATGAAGCCAATGAGGCAATCCAGGAGATTTTCGCATCCAGCTGGATGTTGCTTGCTTTTGTTTTTGGCACGGGAAGTTTCGTAGGGCCTCGCACCAGGAGACGCAGCAAGTGAAGCAGGTGGATGTATTTGTTAGCCACTCCTGGTCCTCGGACCGCTGGGAGAAGCATCTCGCCATGTGCTTCTATCTGAATCTTTGGATGGCATCCAAGGCTCTTGCCGTAAGTGCAGTTGTTTCACAGTTCGTTGTGGCCTTCCTCCCGGAGCAAAGCATTGACATGACATACATGATTCTCATGGATCTGCCGGTGCTCATTTTTCTCACGTTTTTCTTTTTCGGCCAGCATCTGACATGCGGGTGCTTGTGCCCCAGCATTTGGGTGGACAAGCTTTGCGTTGACCAGACCAACGAGAGCACCAAGTCGCAGGGCATTGCAGAGCTGCCCGCGATTGTCGCTTGCTCTGACCAGCTGCTCGTGTTGTGGAGCGAGTCCTACTTTGAAAGCCATTCGTTCCTGTTTCAGAAGCTACTGAGCCACATGAAGCAGGGTTTAGATAAGAACTTGGTGAGAGTCGATGGGGTCGCAGGGGAGTTTTTGGCTACTAGGAACCAAAGCGCCACGTCACATGTTACTGTTCGTTTTCTGCAGTTTCCAAGAAGGCTTTGGGCCAACAAAAGCCATGGTGAGATAAACATGGTAACATGATTAGAAGCCCAAAACACGAAGAAGGACTCTGGTGCAACTTCGAGCTGTCCATCTTTGTGAAGCTTTGCGGGGTCGGCAAGATACGGTGCGTGCCTTTGTGGATGGCACCCTGGCTCCTGATCACCATCGCCTTGTCTTGGTTCGGAAGTCGGATGGACTCCATTGTGCTCGACAGCGATCCCGAGGCCTTCACGGTTGTCTTGAGCTATGGTCCCCAAGACGATGCACTCGAGTATGCAATGAGCCGTACTATGGAATACCTGGCAGAGGCTCCTTTCTTTGCCGTGACTCTGCTGCCGAACCTGATCGTCAGTGCAATTTCATTCCGAATGAAGCTGGAGAGGCACGAGACCATGCTTAAGCACATGGAGACCTTCGATATACGAGCTGCAAAGTGCTCTCTCGAGGAAGACCGCGAGAATATCGAGCAGAGAGTTGCTGAGCTCTTCGACGGCATTGATGATCCAACGATCTCCGTGGCTCTTGGCTCGCCGGGCACAGGCGCGCCAAGCGAAATGGAGACAGAGACAGAGACCAGAATTGCCGTGCCACTTGACAGCCGACCTGCGATACGTGCTGTCACCAGCTACCTTGGTCACGAGGATTCTCTCGATGCTTTTAACACCTTTGTGCGGCATCAGCTTCGCTCCGCGATCACTGCCGACTTGGGGCTTGAGACCGATTTCCCCTGGAACGTTTCTCTTCTCAGCTTCTTTCCCGCATTCCTGGATTTCACAGCACAAATTTGGTGTGGCAGGGCATTTCGTGACAAGGCTGGCTTTGCTTCCGATGAGCAATATTTCGCACTCAGCTTTGGGACGGCTTTCCTGGCACTCTTCGTGAATTTTCCCCTGAGCCCTCCGTGTTTCCTCCTCGTCATGAAGTGGGTTGTTGCAAGAACGTCCCCTGGATTTCTGCGGCACTTGCTTGCCTTGACCTGTGGCTTTGTATTGAACACGGCTTTGTGTGCCATGTATGGATCGATGATCGGAATGCTGGAAAGTTTCGTCATTACAGGCCACCTCGGACTGCTGACATTCTTCCTGTTAATGCTATCCATTCACTTGTTTTGCAACTATGCCCTCTATGGGCATGACATTCAAAACTTCCATCGCTTGCGTCTGTCCCAAAGGGGACTTCGACGCGAGGAATGCGACAGTCTTATGTAAAGCCTGCGAAAACAAGACTCAGACAGTCTGCAAGCGTTGCACGCTGCTTTCTCCTGCAGGAGCCCCCCCCCACATTTTGCAGCCATGTCTGTGAGGCTGTGAGGGGCTGTGAGGGGGTTCAGGATTGGGGCTTCAGGCTCGGGCCGCCGGCCGCCCCTTCACTGCGCGCTTGGGTCCAGCGGCGCCGCGAAACCTGCGCATGGCTCAAGCGAATGGGTTGCCCACACTGCTAGCGCTAGCGATAACAAGCAGAATCCATGAGCTTTCTGAGTCTCCCTGAGGGTCGCAGTCTCCAACTGAACGTTGCCGTCGCGCAAGTCATCAGCTCTGAGTTGCTCGTTCGAATGGGTTTGAGCTTACCGAAGCCTTTCATGTGCAGTTCTTGAAGAGAGGTTAAAATTTGGCAAGGTGGGTGGACACATCTCTAGCTTTCTCCTTGCAGTCTTTAAGACTGAAGTTGCAGTGGATTGCAAACCTTTGGGCGCTTGGACGTGTTGGTGCTGTAGAGGGCCCGTTTAGTGTGTTGCTCCATGCCCTGCTTGTAAGCCACATTTTCTGTCGGACTTCCATCGTCGAAGTCCGATTCTAATTTCGAGCCTTTTGGAAACTTTTCTGAACGACTGTACAGGTATGGTCCATCGGGACTGGTTTTTTCAACCAGTGTCCCTGTCTTGGCTGTTTCTGGAGGGGGAAGTGGAACGAAGAAGAAGAAGCAGAAGCGGAAGTACTAGTTTTAGTTGTCATAGTTGTAGTCGCAGTCGTCATCGCAGTCGTAGTCGAAGTCGAAGTCGTCGTTGTAGTCATATTAGTGGTGTGGTGGTGGTAGTGGTAGTGGTAGTGGCAGTGGCAGTGGCAGTGCTTGTAGTAGTGGTAGTGGCAGTGGTAGTGATCGTGGTGCTGGTAGGGTAAGGGGGTGATCAGCTTTTTTGTTGTTGCGTGATTTGTGTCTTTTTGGTTGTTTTTTTGTATTGTCTCAGGGTTCGCTTCAGAACTTCGCGTTGTCCATGCCTCTTTTCTTTTTTTGCGTGATCTGTGTCTTTGGTTTTGTGTCATCTGTTTTTTGGTTCTTGCTTGTGGCAAAGCCGTCGTGTCGGTTCCTGTGCTTAGTAACATCATGTTATCGTATGCCGTGTATTCTGTTTGGCATACTGCCACCCTCCTTGGACCGACGATGGTTTTTATCGTGGAAAAGCACCCCCTCCGTGCCCTGGAAGTCCCAGACATGCTCCCTGAACCGCTCAGCTTCTGCAAAAAGGGTTTGGGACGACGCCCATAAAGCGAGCGCGACGCGCATGGGCTACGTGAAGGACCGTGTCGGATCATGGTTCCGGGCTTTGCTTGCCTGCGCGGAACCGCAGCAGATCGGCAGTGCTCGCAGATTCGACCTGGCTCGTGTTGGAGGGTTGAGTGGATCTCGAAGCGCCCTCTCCAAGATCGCAGTAAAAGCCTTTTCGGGAGATGTCGAGTGTGGTAGAGGCGGACGTTTGAACGGCTTTCTGACGGTTTATTGGCTTCGGAATGTGGTTTCCCTCATTGCTAGCTGGTTTTCGATTATTCATGTTAATCCACAAAACCACAGACATGAACACACAGATGCAAAAGACAATTTTGTGACAAGGCAGAACACGCAGTGGGTGGCTGTTGGCTGTTTCACGTTTGTCCTTCACTGCTATCCGCCTGAAGTCCATTAGTTTTGTATTGGTTTTTCAATGGTCCCCTAATGTTGTTCGCATTTATTATGTGGTTTTCTTTCGAATATTTATGCTTGGTTTTCGATTGAACCTTTAGGTTTATTCACCGAATCATAAAGACGAGATACACAGATAACACAAAATATATTGATGCAGATAAGCCAGAACATGAAAAACAGGATACTTCTTTGTAGGAAGCAGACACCCGTAGTGTTCAGCAGGTGGTAGCATAGTGGTAAGTGGGCAGTAACAAGTAGGGTAGTGGTACAACGTCGTAGGCAGTAAGTTTAGTAAGTACTAAGTGGTATTAGTTTGTAGTAAGTAGTAGGTAGTAGTAGCAGCAGAAACTACGTAGCTGGTGGTAGGTAGTGGGCAGTGTGGGTGGCAGCCGTGGTAGTGGTCGAGGTAGCAGTAGGGGTATGGGCAGGAGTAGGAGTACGAGCAGGAGTAGCAGTAGGTAAGAGTAGTGGTCGCAAACATTAGCGATAGTAACTGGCAAGCAGCATGCATGGAGCCATGGACCCCGGTGCAGTCGACCTTCCAAAGGGCTTCAGCTCAGAGGAGTTTGCCCGCAAAGCAGAAGCAGACTTCGAGGTGGACTGTGGGCGGTGTTGGGTGTTGTATTTCAGGGGGCGCAGTTCTGTCATCACCGTTGCTCGCTATCCTTCAATTTTTGTCAGTGCGCAGTGCAGTGATCGACGGTTGCGTCCTGTGTCGTGCTTTTGAAAGGCCGTGGCCTCGGACTTCCGAGGAGCCGCAGGCACGGGGGCCTTCGGTGATTGCTCTGAAAGCCCGGCGAGTGGCCGGGGAACCGTGCAAAGCCGATGACAATTAGGGAAGCTGAATACATCTAAGCCTCGTAAATTCTCTTTTTGGCTCAATCCCCAAAGCCCGAACCGTAGAGATTGTACGTGCCTTCTTAGCGCCGTCGAGGCCAGGTCCGAAAGCCTGGCGAGCTTTGGAACCGCAAACTCTCACAGTTCTCGATCCGACAAGATCTTAAACCTGAAGCCCTGAACGGTAGAATGACTTCTACACCGGATCGTAATACGCGCATCTGAACCGCAGGCCTCTGGCTTCTCTGCCGTCGTCAAGGCCTTTCAGACTTGGAGGTTTCGGATTTTGGCTTCTCTAGCTCGGTTCGAGGCCAGCAGAGGAATCGCTTTTGGGAGCGAAGCCGCGGGAAAGGTGCCTACAACCCAAGAAACCTGCAGCCCTCGCGGCGGCGAACCTTTCTGGAACGCGATGAAATCTGTGTTTTTGTACAATCGTCTTCATTCCCAGAGCAAAGAGCCATGCCAGGAATTGAATCGCTACAAGGCTCAGGGACTCTGGCCGCGGGACCCAGCCGTTCCCAGTTTGGGCTACCTGAGACCGAAGCCGGCATGACAGCAGCAAGTGCCAGAGGCGTCGAGACGGCAGCACAGTCCATGCTCTCGCCCCAACCTCTTGCCTGCGCTTAGGCGTGAGGCTGTGGCTCTACTGCTGAGAGCACGGCAGCAAGGCAGCGACATCTCAAATCTCCAAGTCGTCGTCAGGAGAGCCTGTGAGAGGGAGCCTCACTCCGGGAATGGTCTCTCCTGCAGCATGGCTTGCAGCGTCCTTGTGAATTGTGTCGGAGGTTTCCAACACAACACGGTCGCGACGCATGCCGCTCTGGCTGTGACCTGGCGAAGAGCGCATGACATGTCTTGGTACTCTTTATCCATTTTGCTTCCCAGGCGTCTTTACAGTAAGACTATGTGTCTGCAAGGGTTGGCAGAGTCATCGTTAATAGAGCTTGAGGTATTGCTGAGGAGTCCCCGACGACCAGAACAGCCTGAGATCAAAGCTCAAGCTTCACATTATCCCCAAAACCCGCTCGCTGGTCGACGGTTCGCGGCTCGCAATTCTAAGGCTTCCGTGGTCTCGCGCAACACGCGTCAGTGCCAAGGAAGCCGCCAGGGAGCCGCCCCAAATCTCATAAGCTCTGGAGAATCCAAAGTAATACAGGTTCAAGAAGACCGTTATGGAAGATGGATCGGGGAGGTCTTTGCAACCGGATTCCTAGAATCCAAGCTTATCCGGAAGAAAATCCAGTTAGCTCGTCTTTGCACACAGTTGCTTTGAGGGTAAGGGGCCTGATTTGGACTTCTAATGTGTTCGGCTGCGGAACTGCCACGCCTTCAGAATGCATGTCATGCAACCAATGCAACTTCCCGCGTCTCTGGTGATTGAGAATCTGAAAGATGACGTAAATCCCTCGGGCTCTTTACTGTATCCATGGGTGTGAATCTGGGCATTTGGTGTCCTTGGTGTGAATCTGGGCATTTTTTAAGCGCTTACCAAGCCGTGCAATCCATCCCATTGACTTATCTCTCCATTCATGCCTCTGTCGATGTATGATGGCTTCATCCCTTCATCTTGGTGTTTGTAGAGAGTGTAGAACCCCGTGGGGTAGGAAGATGCAGATACAGATAGGTTCCTTCGGTGCAGCACTAAACTCTTTCAGTCTTACAGCAGAGCCCTAAACCCCTACACTGCCCTACACCCCAAACCGCAGCAGTCCCGCAAGTCCCTTTTGAAGTCTCAGAGATTCGGAGGACAAGGCCGGAGCAGTGCACTGGCCCCGCGGTTTCGCGGTCAAACCACGCCATCCTGGCGTCGAGCCGCCGCTTTCCTTAAGGAAGTTTCAAATCCGTGTTCAGAGTCTCAGGGGTTTCGGAGCTCGGTGATTGGGGCTCTATAGGAATCAGCAGCTTCATGTAGGGCATGTGGTGGGCGTAGCAGCCTGCAGCCGGCTCCGGCCACGTGAAAAGCGGCTTTGGAGGATTTTCCCAGCACTCGAGGTTTGGTTCCGACTGCTAGGGTTTGCATCCGGCCTACAAGGGCCTGCGCAAGGTCAGTCTGTTGAGATATGCGCTTGCGGCGCAGCTGAAGATCGACCCCTTCCTGCAGGGGCCTCGGCTCCTGCGTTTCGACCCATCAGCGTAGTTCGGGCTTGCACTTTCTTGCTGAAAGCTGCCTGGATACACTTAACGCGAGAGCTGAGTGCGGTTTTCCAGGGTGGGCCGGGATCGAAACGGCAGCGGTTCATCCAGCGCAGGAGGACTTGCATAACGGTCTGCGAGAAGGCTTCTGATGGTACGGCCCCAAGATTTTGTCAGCATTGCCATGACCAGGAGGTGCAACCAATCTGTCGGCATCCGATTTCTGCTGCTACTGTTCCTGTTATTGCTAGCGCAACAGTATAGTCGGCAGTAGTCTTCGTCGTCATCGTGGTGGTAGTGATCGTGGTAGTGATTTCCACTGCCGCTGCCACTGCTGCTCCTACTACTGCAACAGACTACTACGACGATGACGACGACGACGACTACAACTGCTTCTTTTGCCGCTACTGCGATGCAAACACGTTATTGTATCATATTGAAAACCCTTGACATGAGCGTCAGACTCAGAATCCATGTTTCGCGTTTTGGTTCTCCATGGGACTCCTCATAGCGTCGAGATTGGGTCTGGGCTTGGTTGTAAGAAGTCTCTTCTGAGACTTGTCGCGCTGTGAGGTGACTTCGCCCTTTGTCAACGTTTACAAGAGTTATGTGACTTCGTGAGCACTGATCTGACTTAAGTTGGCCCTTTGTGCTACTGCTGCTGCCACTGCCACTGCTACGACCTCCAGCCTAGTTGAAGGCCCAACACCGTGGTCCTACGGCCGGAACACAAAGCAAAAGCACGAGCCCTCAGGAGAAGCATGGGAACGTGGCCTGGCCTTGTTCCAGGCCGCCGGCGACAAAGGCCTCGACAAAGGCGTCGAGGACGATCTCGAGCTTGGTGCAGCGATACTTACGGCGTGTGTTGCTTGCATCTTCTTTGTGCAACATACTTGGTGTATCGGTGTAGATTCAGAGAATCTCATGCATGCAATACGGGTGTATCTGGTGTTGCATATGTGCTTATGCACATAAGTAAGCATGCCAAGCAAGCCAAGCAAGCCAAACACCAGACTACACGACGTGCCATTTAGAAGGCTGAGAGTCTTGTGTGCTGTCTGCTGGCAGGAGAGAGCAGTTGTGGCGTGCAGCGCAGCCGGTGTCCTAGCCTGTAGGTTGGAGTAAGATTTCGGCTACAGCCGCCACCCCCAAGAAAGTCTATAGGTCCAGGCGTGCAGGCTCCAAAGAGCGAGTACTCCGCTTCTCCGTCCGAGGCCATGGCCTGTTGTAAGCAGCGGTGGCGGAGGATGGTGGCACTGCTGCAGGGCATGCCGGGAACCTTGGGCAAAAGGAGAGGCAGCTTCTGCGCCGACAGCGCCCTCAGACGTTTCCTTTTCTCTGTGGGAGGGTTTAGGGAGAGCCCAGGCCGCTGCGGCAGGTGGAGGCCAACGTGGTGAGCTTCGGTGCCCGCCCTCAGACAGAGGAGCTTCGAGGGCTGTGGTGCAGAGCTTCCTTGGATCTGCAGGTACTGCCCAAAACGTCTGCGAGAAGGGCCTGTCCTGGCCCTCGTCGATGGCTCGAGCCCCAGACGTGCGCTCTCGGCTGACAGCTTCCTGGTGACCGTGACTTGCAGATACGTCATGACACGGCTTCACCCCGTGCGGTTGTGCCGACGAACCGAACGATCTCTTAATTCGTCGGAGTCGGAGATGCTCTTCCTGGAGTCCCAGTCCTCGAAGTTGTGAGGAACTGCTGGGCGCAGCACGGAGCCGGGGCGTCCCGCCCACAACGGCCACATGGTCTCAAGGCATCTAACGGCTTCTAACGGCTTCTGGTGATTCCAGTGCAGTCTGGTTGACTTGGTCTCTTCAGGCTTCAGGCTTGCCGTAGTAATTATTCCCCATGGTGCAACAGCTGCTTTCTGATATCCGGATTGTCGGTGCTTTACTGGAAGACGGGACGCATGCCGTTTGTTGGTGGCCCAAGCCAAGCTCCCAAGCTCAGGTGACCGTCAACGCGGCGATCTCCGTTTCTGGCAAGTTCCGCACCTGGGAGGCGCGAGAGTGCGAGCGGAGGTCCGCGGAGAACCTGACAGCCTAGATCAGCAGCTTCGCCTCGCAGAGCTTTGCACTGGGAAGCGCAAAGCGTCGGTGTCGGTTCACGGACTCGCCCGTGGCTTCCATGTCGGACTGCGCAAGATCCGTTTTGTCTAGAGCATGTGTCCCCTTAAACTGCCCCCTTTTGGATGCACTCACTCTTAGAGTTTTAGACGGGAAGAGACCCTGCACTCACACCACACCGCATTTGCCGCGGGGCGACGCAGGTGGAGCATATTTGGGCGTGTTGAAGCGAGCACACGGAACAAGAAGAGAGCATCCCTGCGCCGAGTCGCGACGAGGCCTCGTCGGAGCTGCTCCGAAGCCTGCGGCGCTCGCAGGATCGGGCCACGGCCGCGGCGTGCTGAGGTAAGACGTAGGTGGTGCAGAGCAACACTCTTCGGCAATGCGTGTGTCAGAGTCCAGGAGCCTCTTCCGAAGTGGGAGTTTGGGGTTTAAGGGTTTGGCCTGGATGAGATGAGCTTCACGTTACATCAGAAAGGTTCTTCCAGTTGTTCCGCTTGCTGTTTTGGAGCACCTCTTCGTCACGACCTGCCATGGAGTACAGGCTTTTCCTAGGTTGCCTCGCATCAGAATCTTTGCCAGCTGTTGAGGTTTCGATTGGAGCAGCAATTGGGTCCTTGCGCGTGCCAGGCAGTCCGGTCTTTGCGGCCCTGAGGGTCAGGTTGCACAACTGGGCGGATGTGATTGAGAAATGGAAGCAGGGTTTAGGGTGCAGTCATCGTTGGTTTCTCGAGCAAAGTGGCCTTGAGTTCCTCTCGGGCCTCGAAGATTCGAGGTGGCTGGCCGCGTGCACTGAAGCTTCTTGAAGGCGGAGCAGAGCGGAGCGTCCACTGTCCCTTTAGCTTCAGCTTCTCAGCTTCTCTTTTTTCTCGGCAGGCCTTCAGGCCGCCGCCCTGAGGCCCATGACGAGCACTGTGCCCGGGTCCAAGGGGCCAAAGAGCGCTTCGTGCCTGTCACGAGTTATTGGAGCGGAGCGGCACCCGGACCCGGGCAGGAACAGCGCGGTGGCGGCGGTAGGCCCCGCTGGCTGGCGCTGGGCCCTTCAGCTTTTGGGCCTCGGCCCCAATGAACACACGTGGGTCACAGGTCCTTCCGGTATTCTGGAGCGGTGTGCACTGAGCTCCTCAGGCCTCCATGGCCAGAGCAAAGACAATCTCGGCATGGCGGCAGCAGCGACAGCAATCGCCGCGGGTGCTTCGGCTGTGCCTTAAGCTTGTATGTAGGCTCCAAAAGTTTGTGTCAATGACCTGGCAGATCTAAAGCCGGTCTGCGACGTTGCGGAGGAGGTGCCCTGGCTGCAGGTTTGGGGCTTCGGGCTCTTTTTGGCCTTGCTTGCGAGATTGAGGCCCTGAGGCCCTCGGTTCCCAGGTTTGCCGGACGGTGCAAGGCTTTGGGTTGCTGGGGTGTTGCCGCGCCAGGAAGGTGCGGTGGCGGCTTTGAAGTCAGTGGTCCTCGAGCTCGCGGGAAGCGCGGAGGCGGGTGCTTTGCAGCGATGGCAAGGGACAGGCGACTCCCTCTCTCTCCTCTCGTCTTTTCGAGCTGCGTAAATCTGCGTGTGTGCACTGCCGCCAGGCTCCAGGTGTGATCGCAGATGCCGTGAAAGGCTTAGGCCCGCTTCTCAGGGAAGAAAGGGAGCACGTTGCGATGTTGCTTCAAGCTCCATACATTCACTCCGACAGGCTTTCTAGGAGTTTTTGACAAAGGTCTCTTCTGTCTTTGCATACCAAGGGCGTGCTGGCCGATGGCGGATGGCCGTCGGTTTGCTGTTAGAGGTCGGCGAGGCGTGGCTTTGGGAGCCACCCCGTAGGGAATGGAACCGTGCCCAAGGAGTGTTCGAAAATCCGAGCAATCCTGGATCCGAAGGCAGCAAGCTCGCTCAGCTAGTAACAGCTAGTAGCTTGAAAAAGGTCACCGTAATCTCCAACGTTGCCGGAGCTTCACCTGGCACCCTGCCGGCCTCGGAGGCATCTTCCCGGTCGCGGACAAAGTTGGGCCGTACCTGGAGAGGCCTGGGAGCGGTTCACGACTGGTCCCGCAGAGCCGCTTCTTGTGCGATACCATGAGCTTTGATGTCGAAGGAGCCGACCTCGCTGCGCTTCTCTGGAGCCAGGCAACCTACTCGACCGAGGCAGAGAGCAGCAGAGAGCTCTAGAGAGCACTGGAGAAGAAGCTGCGCGGCAAAGAGCAAGCTGAAGTTCTGAAAAAAACATCAAAGAGCAAAGCGTTGGGGGCAGCGTTTTCAGACCCGGCAGTGGAAGCTTCTTTGGGAGGCCTCGCAGCGGCCGGGCTCCTGGCTGCTTCCCAAGGAGTGGAGCCTTGGGCGCTGAGCCTTCTGCCGCTCTTGGCCTTTAAAGAGATGCTGTGAGCCGCACTCAGGAGCTGAGCCCAGAGGATGCCGTGCAGCAGCTCATTCCAATCTGAGCATTTGGCCGGAGGGGGAGTTAAAAGCAGCACGCTCCAGGGGAGGTGTCTGAGAACGCTTCCGGGGTTGGCACGCTGAAGCAGCAGGCAGAGGGCTTTGCTGTGAGCTTTGCCTGCTTGATTGTCGCTGCCTCGGCCATCTTGGAGTTTCAACACTTCAGGGCACCCAGTGAAGGTCAGAAAGAATGACCTTCGCCACCCTCCCAGAATGAAATCCCCCACGAGCAGCGCACATCGCCCCTCGCTGCGAAGCAGGCCTTGCCACACGAGTTCCCACTCTTAGGACCGCGCCTACATGGTCGAGCACCAGCCATGAAGTATCGGCAACACAGTCCCCCTCCTGCCATGAAAGGAGTGCATGCAGTAGGTTGTAGCTACAGCCCTTCGGTTGGTGCTTGAACGGGACGCTGCCGGAACGGCCGAGACCTTGGCGAAGGGTTCCAAACATGCGCCGAGTGGGAAAATCGCAGGATCGGAGCGCCTGAGGTCTCCCCCATGGTTGGCAACCGGGCGGGGCCATGGCCGGACTGGCGCCGGAAAAGAGCGAGAGGCCTTCGGCCTTCCGTAGCCCAAGCTCGGACTTTGCCATCGCTTCTGCGAAGTGGAGGCCGGCCCAAAACCGTCGAACCCCGATTCTGCAAAGAAGAAGAGGAAGAAGAATGGGCGGAGGAGGAGGAGGCCGGGCAGGGAAGGAATGGGGATTGTGCTGATGAACAATTAGCAACCTCTGTTGATTGGGTCGTTTGAACTCTGAACATCTCCTGGCCTCTATTGTGCACTGTGCTAGTGTTCTTTCTCTTTCCTCCTCTTTGCTCGCACGGTTCGCTTTGTGTGTTAGGCAGCAGTCTATGGGGCCACGTCAGTGCACGTCGCTGTCTTTGCAAGCGGTCCTCGGTCTCGTGCTGGATCCTTCTTTGGACGCTGAGCTCTGACCCGACCCGCCCGATGCCCAAAGCTCTGAGCTGCCGTGGCCCAGGCCGAGGACCCGGGGTCCTCCGACTGGTGGCCGCCCTTCCAGCCGCAGCCGCGGCAGCCACCAGGTCCTCCTCCAGGAGCGGCTGGCAGGGGTATCTACACAGACATAAAGGTATGCACATTGCCTCCATCCATGCATATATCTGCGTTCCTGCGTATGTACGTACCTCTGTGCGTGCGTGCTTATGTACTGTCCAGTAAGTACGTACCTGTACACGCATGTTTATATCTATGTCTATATCTATATCTATATGTCCCTGTCTCTGTATATGCACATGTACATGTGTATGTGTACGTGTCTGTGGCTCCGTGCGTGTATGTGTGTATGTGTTTGTCTAGGTCTATGTGCATGTATATTACCCTCAGTGCATCGGAGCGCAACGTAGTGGAGTGTAGGGCACGTGCCTTTCTCAGTGGTAGCCTTCCGAGATGGTTTGGCTCAAGCTCCCAGCTTGAGCCGACATGCCGGGGCCCTGGCTAAACGCCAGCGCAGACCCGGAAGCATGGGCGTCTGCCTCTTTGCAGGCAGGCGACTACATCGAGTACTGGGCCTACGACACGTCCCACACGCGCCAAGGGACAGTCGTGGCCAGAGTCGACAATGTGACGGAGAAGACTGCCAAGGGCCAATGGACGGAGATCGCCATTTTGGCGGCCTCTGATGACCACCTCCTTTGGTGGCTGGACCATGGAGCCGGACGAGACGAGAACTGGGAGTACGAGCTCCATGTGTGCAAGGCCCAGTCAAGGCAGTGCAGGCAGTCAAAGAGAGGCCGTGGCCATGACTTCCACACGGACAAGTACCGGGTCCTGACCCTGGGTGACCTGGCTGACCGCAGGCCGGATTGGATCCGGAAAAGCAAATGCAAGAAGTATATAGACGAGGAGGTGGCTCGTATGCAGGCGCCACCGCCGCTGGGAAAGGACCCCGCAAAGGCGGGAGGAGCTGCCGGGCTTACCTTTGAGGAAGGAAAGCTTCCGGCACCAGACCCGTCGCATGATGACGAGGCCCTGAAGGGGCTTGGTGAGCTCGAGAAGGAGCTCGGGGAGACGCCCCGCAGAAGAAAAAAGAGGGCTCAGAATGACCCCCACGGGGGAGAGCACGGACCCCTCAAGAGGGAGGGGAGAGATGAGCACCTCAAGAAAAAGAAGAAGAGAAAAAAGGACCCCGGCCACGGCCGTGCTCAGTCTGCACCAGCCAAGGCTGAGAACAAGAAGGAGTGGTTTGGGGAGCAGCTGGCAGCGAGCCCCCACGATGGGTCAAGGACAGACTCCTCCTCGCCGTCGTCTTCGGGCTTTTCGGACCATGGCAAGAAGAAGAAGAAGAAAAAGAAGAAGGTCCGTGCCATGGGATCGAAGGACCGAGGCCCGTTCGGGTCTGGGCACCGAGTGGACTATGGAAAGTCGCTGGAGATATCCAGCGGGTCTTCGGATGAGGCCCAGCTTTTTCGGGACGGCCCTTCCTCCGGGAATGGAACCAGCCTTCAGCTCCAGCTTCAGGAGTACGCCCTGAAGAGACCAGGAAGGCTGGCCGCTCGGCTCTTGCAAAGGATGCAAAGCCTAGTGGGGAAGGAGGGAGGGCCGATCTCGAACATGACGTATGCCAACAAGACGCCGCCCGTGGCAATGAACTTCGTGCTGACCGTGCTCGCCCCTCGACAGATGCCGGTGAGGACCCTTCGCGAGATGAAGACGCTGGCGGCAGCACTGGACCAGATCGCAGCAGGTCGGTCCCACTCCGCGGCCGATCTGCTCGCCCAACGGCTGAAGGCACTCGAGCTCAGCCAGACGGACTCGACGTGGAATCGGGCCCAGTTCATAGAACTGGTGGAACCCGAGGGTCCAGCGCTCCTGGAGCGCGAGGAGGCGGTGCTGGCGTCGAAGGAGTGGGCAAGCGAGCTGAGGATGAAAAAGCTCCAAGGAGGAAAAGGTCCGGCCAAAGGGGACGGCAAGGCAGACAAGGGGAACCCGAAAGGAGAGGAGAAAGGCGGAAAAGCAGGGAAGAAGAGTCACCAAGGGAAAGGAAAAGAGACCGCCCCGGCCGCGTGAAGGACGAGGTGGTCGTCAAGGAGGAGGACCCTGACTATGGAGGAGGATCCGATGATGATGCCACTGGACACCCAGCTGGCACAAGTCTCGGTGAGCCCTCCCAAGGGAGTGGAGTTGAGCGAACCGGCCAAGGCCGAGGGCACCCCATCATGGAGCCGGCTGACTACAAGGATATGGTGGCCGATGGGACCCTCGCCTTTGATTGGGGTGAACTCGGCGAAAGCGATGACGAGGGACTCCCCATGGGGAAGGCCGATTCGAGTTACTCCTCCAGCCTTCTGGATGGTCTTTCAATGAACGATTGGAGGAAGAAGATGAGATCGGTCCTTGACAGGGAGCCCGGCATGAAGCCGTTGGGGAAGGTCCTGATGGAGGCGATGCTTTCGTTAAAGTCCGGCCTGGGAGCATTCGCGAGGGAGTATAGCAACCCGGAGAAGCTGCCCCGGGCGGCGAGCCCAGACCAGGCTCCTCAGGCCGTGGCCGAAATCGGGACGTCCTACCCATCCACCCTGGCATGATCACTGTCGGGCTGAAGGGTGTCACGGAGGACAATGTGCACTGGGTGAGAGCCATCATGACGGCACTCAACTACCTCTATTGTGCTGGGTGGGCCGCACCGGTCTGTGTCCCGATGTCCAAGTCCCTCAGCCTTTGCCAGTTGAGGGCAGTGGGGCGCATTGCCGGCCAGGCCGAGCGCTTCGCTAAGCTCACCCCGAAGATTGGTCCGGCCAAGGCCGCGATAGCAAAGCTCTCTGCAAAGAAGTTTGACTATAGCGGCCAGGCGGTGGAGCACATGTTGGAGCTGGACGCCGAGAAGGTGATCAAGGCATGGCCAAAGCCGGGTTCCGCGGCGGTGGTCGATCTTCAGGACTGTCTGCCGGACGACTTGAAGAAAGCCCTTGACCACCCACGTGACTACCTCCTCCCAGAGACGGAACTCCCAGAGAGACACCGGGGCTCGAAGGTCCGGGCCACCGATGAGGAATGGTACAAAATAGTTAAAGCCGGTTACGACCGAGGTATGTTTGTGCCAGTTTCTGATGACGAGGTGCCCGTGGACAGACGGGGGCACCTGATCACCAACGGTGCTGGAGCGGTTGCGAAAACAAAGGTCGTGGCGGGTCGCACAGAGGTGGCCCAGCGGTTCATCTCGGTGCTCTGTCCGATGAACGACGCCATGGTTCCCTCCCGGGAGCCCAGGACAGCCTACCCTATATCGGGCAGATGACAGCCGTCTTGGCGGAGAAGGACAGCTACCTGGTGATTGACTCGGAGGACCTCCAATCTGCCTTCAACCTCTTCCGCCTACCCCTTGCTTGGGCTCCCTTCTTTGGCTTTGCCAAGAAGGTGAGGGGTGACGCGCTGGGCCTGTCGCGTCATGAGACGGTGAGGCCTCCACTCAGAGTGGTTCCCATGGGCTGGACCTCAGCGGTGACCCTGATCCAGGCCGCGATCAGGCACATCTCATACGAGATAGCAAGGATCCCTCCCTACGGGGATGTGAGAAAAGATCAGCCGCTCCCAGCGGGAGACACGCACACGGTCCTATACCTCGACAATTTCGACGAGGTCCGCTACCTAAAAGAGGAGACAGCCGAAAAGGAGGCGGGCCAGCCTTCAGAGAACCACCGGCGGTTTATCACAGCCTGTGAGCTTCTAGGGCTGCCGCGCAATCTGGGGAAGCAGCTCTGCGGAGCTTTGTCTGGAACCCTCCAAGGAGGAGAGCTGTTGGGACGCGAGAAGATCCTCCGCCACAGCTATGACAAGTCGGTGGAGCTCTTCGAGCTCTCGATGGCCCTCCTCACGCAGGAGCTCATGAGCGACTACAGCCTCCGGCACTGGACCGGGAAAGCTGCCTTTGCGGCAGCCTTCCGGAGGCCGATCTACTCGGTCCTCCAGGAGGTCTATGGTGTGATGGACTGGGCGGCCTCGGGAGCCCAAGTCTCTTTGCCGATCGCGGCGATCGATGAGGTTCTGGTGTTCATGGCTATGCTCCCGTTGGCGGAGACCGACCTCTCCTCCGAGATCTCCCCGACCATAAGCTGCACCGATGCCTCGCCCACTGGGGGAGGCTCTTCAGTGGCAACGGTCTTCAAGGACAAGTCCCTTCTCACCCCGTTGCCGGTGACCTCGGACGGCCACTGCGGCTGCTGCAAGAAGGAGCTTGTGGCGCCTAGCCACCGCCTCTACCCTTGCCCGCGCAAGTGCGGCCTCAAACTATGCTCGCTCAGGTGCGCTAGGGACCATGGAGACGCGTGCTGCAGGAGCTGGTGGCATGTCCCCAGGTTTGGAGAAAGGTTCAGTGGCAGTGGCTTTCCCCTCTCCAAGGCGGCCGGGCTGAAGGGGATTGAGACCCAAAGACCTCTAGGCCTCGATGTCGCCGGTGACCCTTGGGACTTCAAGACGGACGCTGCGAAGGAGCGACTGGACTCCTACGAAGCCGACGGCAACCTGGTGTGGACCCACTGGAGCCCGGACCGTAGGACCTTTTCGCGGTTCCGTGGGGAATGGGAGAGGGACCACCAGGGCCGGTGGACACAACCTCTCCGACAGCTGCGTGACTCAAGCTACCCGGAGGGGTACACTAACCTCCGACGGGACGAGACGGTCGCGGTCAGGCAAGCCAATACAATGGCAAAACGTGCCATTCGTGGCCTGCTGGAAGCAGCCAGGAGAGGGCGGTTTGCGTCCTTGGAGCACCCCTACGACTCCTACATCTGGCAGCTGGCGGAGGCAAGATCTCTCTACGGAGAAGAATGGTACTGGACCTCCTTTCCGATGTGCTGCCACGGCGGGGAAACAGAGAATGGACAACGATCGTCCATAACTCACCGTCCTTGCACGCCGTGCTGGAAAAGAAAGAGTGTGAAAGAAATCACACCCGAAAGGGCCAGCCTGACGACCCTGAGAACAATGATCCCTACCCATGGGACTTCTGCCTGGTTTTCATGGAGGGCGTCTACGACGAGCTGGTCGCACTCTACTCGGAGCCCTTTGGAGCCAGGGACCTCACTTTGGGGACCCTGATGGAGCACCAGCTCAGAGGGGCCACAAAGGGTTTGCAGGATGCGGCCGCCGTTGCTTGGGCAGCTGAGCAAACGGTGCAGTTCCTGGAGACAATGGACACCCACCAGGAACTGGAGCATCTGAAATGGTTGCTCCGCCACGCGCACCACACCGGGTGTGACGTCCGTCTGACCAACCGTGGCGACGACGTCTTCGGCCACCGACCGGGTCCTTACCCGGCATTCAGGTGGCTCTGGAAAGATGTGTTGAGCTACCGCTGGAAGGAGGAGCAACACATCAACATTTTGGAGCTCACTGCCTTTCTTACGGAGCTCCGACGCAGAGCTCGAGACCCAGCTGAACACGGGAGGAGCTACTTCAATGTGGTTGACTCCTTGGTCTGCTTCTACGTGCTGGGTAAAGGCCGCTCCTCATCAAAGCGCCTCAACCGTGTTTGCCGCCGCATAGCCTCAGTCGCCCTCGCTTCAGGAATGATCCCAATGACCATGTGGACAATCTCGAAATGGAACTTCTCAGATGGTGCGTCAAGGAAATTTGAACCGTGACCACCTCCGGTTTGTTGGGATCCTGGATAAGACGAGGCGATCATATGAAAAGGCTGTGGCGGCATTCTTCAAATATCAACGCGCCCTACGGGGCAGGCTTCCGCGCACATACGCGGAATTGGATGAAGAGGTGGCCGAATACATCAACCACCTCTACCAAGAAGGGGACAGTGTTTCCTTTGCGGGATGGGTCCTCTCTGGACTCAAACGTTTTCACCCTCGCTGCCGGGGTCAGCTCGCTACCTCGCAGCTCTACCTTCGAAACTGGCAGCGGGTCCATCTGCCAAAAAGAACAACGCCTTTGTCTTGGCTTGGCGCGAAGGCAATGGCCTCGGCGGCTGCCCAGATTGGCCGCTTTGACTTGGCTTTGATGGTGCTCCTTGGTTTCGCCTTTTTTCTTCGGACCATGGAGCTGCTTTCGTTGGCGGCCACCCATGTGAGGCTGTTTCCTGACCAAGGCACCGTGATCATTGCCATCGTCAACAGCAAGACTTCAAAGGGCCTCCAGCAATCCCTCTCTCTGAGGGAGCCAGAACTGGTGCAAGTTCTGGTCTTTTTGTGGGACCGGGCAAGCCCGGGTGGACTCCTCTATGCCAAAACCCCGCTGGTCTTTAGAAGAGAGTTTGCAGCTCTCGTGCGAGCGGTGGGACTCGACCCTGTGGAGTATCTCCCCTACTGCATGCGCAGGGGCGGGGCCACTTTCTTCTACCAGAGGTCCCAAAGCCTCGGTCAAACAATGATCCAGGGCCGCTGGAAAGACCAAACTACGGCGAGGGTCTATGTGGATGATGCCCGGGCCACTTTGGTGCAACTTTTATTGCCCTCCCACGTCACCGCCCATCAACAAAAGCTGGCTTCATTCTGGCGGGTGGCTTCGCCAGGTGGTTAAGAACTGACTTGGGCCAGTTGGTGATTGGGTAAGTTGGCTTGGCCCTGTATTTTTAGCCCTTGTGGGATTTTGCAAAATCGCGAATTCCACACCTCCTACGGGAGTGTCCACCCACGGGTGAGTTCGGGCGTGTACCTTAGAGGCCTTTTGCCCTTTTGTGCGTAACTAGGCGCACGCCAACTTGATTGCTCCCAGCTTCTCCGGGAAAAGGAGTTCCGCTACTGTTCTGAGAATACCCTCAGTGCATCGGAGCGCAACGTAGTGGAGTGTAGGGCACGTGCCTTTCTCAGTGGTAGCCTTCCGAGATGGTTTGGCTCACCACCACTTCCCCACCTCCACCCAGTTGGCTTGGCCCTGTATTTTTAGCCCTTGTGGGATTTTGCAAAATCGCGAATTCCACACCTCCTACGGGAGTGTCCACCCACGGGTGAGTTCGGGCGTGTACCTTAGAGGCCTTTTGCCCTTTTGTGCGTAACTAGGCGCACGCCAACTTGATTGCTCCCAGCTTCTCCGGGAAAAGGAGTTCCGCTACTGTTCTGAGAAATATATATATATATATATATGTATATGTATATATGTATATATATATGTATGTAAGTACACATGGTGTTGAAGGTGTTTTGCAGCCTGTCTCGACAGATCGATGGGCGAGCTGGGACGACGGAGACTGCGAGCCAGCGTCCGCGCCGTCCACGCCCAGTCGCCAGGGCCTCGACTCAGGAGCTGGGCTCTCTTCGAAGCCGCTTTTTGTTTCCCCTTGTTGGCCATAAACTTGAAAGCCCATACCTCAGCCTGCCGCTCAGTGGCTTCCCAAAGCACTTCGGCGACGAGCCTCCCCGCTGTCAGGGGCTTGGCATTCGTTCCAGACACTTCCAGGATTTGTATACCAGAGATTCGAGGATTTTCGTGCTTGAGGCCATTGCTCGTGGGGTCTCTGCAGATCTAACCCGTAGTGCTTGGTATAACGCTGCAAACAGTATGGTGTTGGTTTGTGCAGCAACCTGTGCATCCATGCACGCAAGGCCAAGCCTGAGCTGGGCGACAGCTCCTCTTCGAGCGAGGATGAGCTAGGCCCAAGTACTTTCGCGCTGGGAAGCTCATACAGCCTGAACTGCACTGCAGCTTGCGGCTTGCAGCTTGCGAGCCTTTGATATCAGACTCTCTTTTTGAAAAGCGTTGTCGGACGGCATCGGCCCAAAGTCGAGACATGGGGGGGCTTGCATCGGCTTGCAGGGCAGTACCTGGCCATCCTGAACAAGGGGCCCCCGAAGCCCAAGAAGATGCCGAAGCCGAAGCAGAGGCCCCCGCCGGGGCCCGGCTGAGTCAGAAAGCTTCACACGAAGCCCGGCTGAGTTCAGGCCGCCGGTGTCGGGCGCCTCTGTGGCCACCTCGAAGTATCCGCCGCCGAAGCGAGGCCCAAGTTCAATGGCAACTCGGCTCAGAAGAGAAAAGAGAAAAGAGAAGGGAAGAACAGAAGGCCTTGTTCAGCTTCCTTCTGCCAGTGCTTTACACTTCAAGGCGCCTCCAACTGCTCCGGAACCGCCAAAACGACTGCGCCTCGAGGCACACCGGGAGGGGGGGGGGAATGTATGCTTTGAGGGTTCCATATAAGGAATCAGAGAGGTTCAGAGGTCGGACGGAAGTAGCTGCAGCTGAAGGGACTTGCTGTTGGGTATGGATGTGCAGAGTGAGGTTTGGGGAGTTGGGCGACAAGAAGCTGGGGTTTAGGGCTTCAGCTCAGGTTTGAGGATGTAGTGAACGTAGGGTGAACGTAGCGGAACTTGCGCAGAGGTGGATTCCTCGAACCTTTTTTGGGGGGTGGCTTCTGCGGAGCCAGGAGCCCGAGAAACGGACCATCATCCGGCCCAGCACGAAGGCCGCCAGTTTTTGAAGGTAGCTTCAGGCCTCATGCAGTGTCAAGGGAGACTCTGGCACGTCTGGGAGGCGGGACGACCGCCCCTCCCCACTTCGGCGAAGGCGCCAATGGCGCCTCCTCCCGTGGCGCCGCCTCCTGTGGTGCCGTCTCCGATCCGACCTCCTCTGGTCTCGGCGCCAGTCCAGGCAGGTTTCGATTGAGAGGCAGTTCCGAATGGGCAGAGTTGACTGTCACGGAGGCTTACTGTGCTGACCCCCGAAGCTCAAGCTCGGAAGCTTCTGCATTCGGCAGTGCGCAGGTCACGCCGGCCAACAGCCTTCGCATAGGCCAGCTGCAACACTGCAACACCGAACTGTGTTGCAAGCACGGTTCACCACAGCCGGCTGAGCTGGAAAGTCAAGTATGAGAGGCCGTGCCAGAACGAGCGTCCCGGTCGTGCCGCCGCGTGCGCAGCCGCGCCTGACGCGAGAAACCTCTACAGGGTCTCGGGCTGAAGAGTGGTCATGCGAGAGGGTTTCCACAGAAAGAACATGGGAGGCCACTTGTCCTTTGTGCGCATGAGTCATGAGTCTGTGGCATAGTGCGTTGGGCTTTGTGTCCTTCCACCCACAGCATTATATCAGTGTGACGTTGCATCTTCTCCCAGGCCGAGCTGGTGCTTCAGACTTCAAGGGTTTTCAGTTGGGCCTCGGCTTCCATCTAGCCATACTCGAACTCCTGCACAGGGCCTCAATGTCAAGAGAGTTAGAGCTTCCCTATGGCCGCAGATCCTGTGCGCCCCTCCAAACACGCCCGGAACCCGAAACCGTCCAGCCTAAATCCCCACGGCTCGCAAACATGACATTCCAAACTCTGCAGGTTGATGGTGGATCCTCCTCCTGTTAGCGAACTGCGAGATTCGCGGTGCCTCCGATACATGAGGAACCTCCAAGTTTCAGGGTGCAACGGCTCCTGCTTTCCAGAATCTGGTTGCTTGAGGTGGGCTCGGGATCAGGGGGGCGTGGACTCAGAGGTCAGGACTGGAACTTGTGTCTGCACGCAGGACAGCATGGCCTGAAGCCAAATTTCTGAATACCTAGCCCTCGCACTGAATGAAGCGTCAGCATCCGAAAGCATTTGCAGCCAAGGCCATGTCCCTTTCCGGGCCCTCCGCCAGTGGAGGCCCTGTGTTTTTTTGAGGTTGCTGGTAACGTGCATTGAACGCGCCCGTGGACTCGCTCGAAGAGATTGATTGGCGTTCATCAGGATCCTCCCTACTGGGCTTTGCAGCAGCCACTTCTGAATCTGGGCAGATCAATCCATTGCTCGTGTTCAGACTTGCGTTGGATTTTCGGGTTCGCTCTCACTGTCTCTCTGTGGAGTGCAGAAAAAATCGAGGCGTCGGATCTTTCCCGAGCAGCGACATGCTTCATGCTCTTCTTCTGAGGAACTCACAACTTGCGCTTCCGCCGTCGCACCTGCCACTGGCTTTGCCGCCGCCACCACCGCCTCCGCCGTTGGATTCCGAGCCCGAGACGCTTGGCGAGTTGATTCGAGCTGAGAGGCCTCGACCCCTATCGAGCTGCAGCGGACCTGGAAGTGGTCCTCCGAGTAGCTTTGCGTAGCTCTGGAACTGAAGGCTCGAGACAGAGAAGCCAAGAACACGAAAGAATGAGCCAAGGAGCCTCGCTCCAATGACGGATGCGCTGGCACTTTGCGAGCCATCCTCAGGCGCCATGCGGATCCTTCCCCTGACAGTATGGGCAGGGTGCGTGAGTGGGGGGCCACTGGTTGGATGTGCAAGATCTGGTCTGCAGGTGACGGAATAATTTCAATCGACATCGACGAAGATGCTATAGCTGTGGCGAACGTGCTGCAGCAGGTGCATGTGCGTAACCAAACCCCGCCGAGAGATGTGACTTCGTATCTGCCTTTCTGTACAGTCTGGTAAGGGGTTCCAACTGCGGGTTTTCCTCACAGGTTTCAATGACTCCATGTTCTGCGGGACCCGCCCTAAACTTGGATACCGCACTCCTTCACCAACCATGCGAGGATTCTCAGCATGCGGAGTTTTACGAACTGCTGAAGGCCAGAAAGCAATCGCTGTCTGTGGCCTCGAGATTGTCTTGCACTTGACCAAGTCCCATGCTTTTGGAGCGTCATTGCCTTGGCCCACGGCAGGAGTTTCAGCGAAAGGCCGCGCACGCTCTAAAGGGCGGGGGCCTTGGGATCTTGAGGAAATCGAACGGCTGCTATAAGTCGGGGTGCCGGCTCTTTGTCCAAGGTGCGAATGCGCCGGTCTGCATCGACGTCCGTTTGGGCGGCCAAGTGACCGACCTGCCGGAGGTCTTGGCACCAGGCGCCCTCCTTCCGAGCTGTGGAGCGTGCCGAGAGCATGCTGGTGTTTCTGCTGGTGTTTCTGCTTGACAGGTGGAGCCTCCGTGCCTTCCATGCCCTCCCTGCCCTCCATGCCCTCCGACACTGGCTCTGGCGGCTTGGCAGCGTATGCATTTTGGAGACCTGCAAGGTGGTTTGTGTGGGGTTTAGCTCCCACTTCGAAGCTGAGGCTACTACTCCAACAATGGTAACTGGAGCGATGCCTTGCCTCCCTCTTTCGCCAGAGCCCAAGCTCTAGTGACGGCTATAGTCCAGGGAGCAGGAGACCAGACAAAGTCAAAGCACCTACCTCCCACCGAAAATTTAATGACTGGGAGAGTGTCAGATGGCCAGACTCAGACACTTGAGACAGCAGATTGAAGCCGTGCCGTCCAATATAGGCAGCTGTAGTTCACTCCACTGTCGCTCGAAGGCGGCCGAGCGCATTGTCAACGCTAAAGACGTCCGTTTCTCGCAGAAGTCTATGAAGCGGCGATTCCAGGACAAGAGACACTCTGACATGCTGAGGGCTTGGGGTATCTTGCCTCGGGATCTGGACTGGTTTCCCTTTTGCCAGACAGGAGGATTTCAAGAATCATAGTTTCATCAGTGTCGCATGCCTAGTTGGCACGTCTACTGTTTCACCATGACCAGGACGGACGCAGCCTGGAGGTGGGGGGGGGGTCTGTTGAGGTCCATGCCAGTGACTCTCAAAACATTGCTTCGGTCCAAGCGCTCCGCTGGTGGGTGAGGAGCTGATCCAGGGCCTCATGAGGGGTACTTACAACCCCATGACGGATGAGCTGCCCGGTGTATTTCGCGTCGGGTTGAGGGATCCGACTGCTCAAGCCGTCGGACTCACTGCCAAGGTTTCTGAAGCTGACCGTTGTGGAAAAATCCGATGCCCAGGGGAACCCTGCTCTGTACTCGAAGGCTCGATGAAGGGAGTTGGATCTTCCGTGCATAAAGTCAGCTCAACCAAGGCATATTCCTGTAGACGGGGAAAGTGTAGCTTCCAAGCTTTGACAGGACAATCGGCGGCTCTATTGCCTCCACGAATATCAAAGGCGCATATGTGCCATGGCTGCAGTGGAGACGAGAAGAGAACGGACACGAGGCATCGTCCAGCGCTGCGCAGCGTTTGACGGTTTGACCCGATTAATGCTTTCTGAGGTGCCGAAAGGGTGCCCGTCCGGGTTCGTATCCTCGCATGGCAAGACGTGGTCGATGCCTGCAAGTTTCAGAGGCCGCTCAAGCTGTCAGGAAACTCGCCCCCGCCCTAGCTCGAACTTGCTATGTCCGAACAGGAACTACGACACTGAGCAGGACGGGAATGATATTACGCTTCGAAACTGAAGAGTTGCTCCTGAAGGCTTCCACGTGGACTGAGATTGTGTGCAGGTGTTTCCATTCTCAGCAAGGCACTTGAGAATCCATGACTTCCTGACATGCCGACTGCAAGATTTCTGCCACCTCCCGCGAAGCCTTTGCCATGCATTTACAGCATGCAAGAGCCTCTCCTGCTTCGAGTGTTCACCCTTCCAACAACTCCTCAACAGGAAGAGAAGTTGTTGAGTTCGCTTGTCATGGCTGAACGAAGGGTGTGACTGGGGAGTTGCACTTGGATGCTGTCAAGTGGGTAGCTTTCCAAATTGTGGCCGGCTCGGGGTTTCGTGTCAAGTCTGGTGCCGTGTGTCGGTTTAGACATCAGCCACAATTTGGAGGACGACCTATGCAGCGAGCACGGTAAAAAGGCATCAGAGGAGAAGCGCGCTGCTCTTGCGAAAGCTCCCGCTGACAGATGGCCCCGCACCACACCTGCCAGAATAAAAATCCTCGCAGAACACAGGGCACCTTGTTGGCAGCTGTTGGGCTCAGCACCCTCCGGGTTTGCCGGGATCGGCTGTTCGCCCGGTGCAGGTTCTGCAAGGGGCCAGGGTTGAATCATGCTTCAGGCCGCTAGCTGCATGGACAATTCGCAGAAATCACCGATGCTCGAAAAGGCTAGCATGCAGATGTACTCCAATTCCAGCTTGAGACAGAGTTGTTGCACTTATCAGCTTCATCGTAAGCTTTCAGGGGGTTTGTCAAGGTCGCAGCAGGCAAGAAGAATCCGAGTAAAGCTGGCTATACACAAATCAAACTCATGGCGGATTCGTAGCAATACGTGGCAATTCGCTGCAACTGAACGAGCAAATAACTCTACCTTGGTTTGGCTTAGAAATGCATTCACACAAGTGTACAGAAACATGCATCGTCGGATAGGTAGATTGGTAATGTGGATGGGTTGGTAAGTAGATAGGTAGGCAGTTGGCGAGATAGTCGGTCGGACAGCCAGACAAGCACACAACGGATACGCGCACGGGTTACGTATATGCATGCATGCCTGCATGCCTGCAGAGATTCTTGATGTTTGCGTGGTGTTTCCCGAAAAAACCGCGGAGCGCCGCTGTGCAGGTGGCACAGCTCATGCCCGTGCCTCCGGGGGCTCCCCGGCCTGCTGGCCTTGGCGGCTATGGAGCCGTGGTGCTGCCGGTGAGGCCTCCAAGGGACTCGGACTCGGCTCGGACTCCTCTTGGCTGTCGACGTCGGCTGCAGGTCTTTCGCGATCCGCGTTCTGCATACCTTGCCGAATACTCATTTTTTCCTAACCTGAAAGGCGTGAGGCCATGCGGACGCAAGGCTGGCCGGAGCGTTCGCTGTCGATTCTGCTCCGCTAAACCCACGCTCAAGCTCAATCCACCAAAGTCATGATGTTGCCCCACGCGAAGAGTCTGAAGGTTTCGTGGCAGTGCCGTCCTTTCGCGTCGAAGCGTTGGGCCAAGCGCCAGAGAGCCACAGAGAAAGTTGCGATGTCCCGCCTTCCAGCGCCCTAAAGCCGAAGCCTCCCTCTTTCGCTGAGGCGCCAGCTGCAGCGTCGCCAATGATGAGGCCCCGTGGCCACATGGTGCTCAGTAGCTGCTAAGCCGCTAAGCCCGCAAGCACCTCGTTTTGCTCCGAAGGAAGGCTCCGGCTCCGGATGTCCTTTCTGTCACCGGCGGCTGCGCACCGCGACAGGCGTGAAAGGGCTTGGGGCGCCTCCAGGATCTGGAAGTAATCGGTGTGTCTTGCACGGTCTTGCCGTATGGACGTCTTTGCATCCGTCATGTGCGCCGGGAGGGACACGGAATGCGTTCAGAGACACTCCATGTAACTATCCCTGAGCCTGAACTTCAGGCAGCGGTTCCGGTGCCGATACAAGTAGCCGCATCTGGATATCAAGGCCGGGACATGAGCTGGGACGGACTGTGGATGTGCATCTGTCGTGTACTGCACGAAAGGCAGAGCAGAGGTTCTTGCAATTTCTCTGATTGGGACTCTTCTTTCTTTGTGCCGCATCTTATGAAGATTTGGGGTCGTTGCTAAGTGTAGTTCCCAGATCCACGGCCCTTAAATCCTCGCGTGAGGCATGGGAAAACACCAACTCCCTTCAAGTCTTAGAGCGAAACGCTTCTGGTACGTGCCAGCCCTTCGGCCACCAACTGCTCCACGGCGCCCGGTTGTGCCACTGGCACCGCGGGGTCCCATGGGCCCAGGCCCGCCGAGTTCCCGCGAATTCGTGGTTGAATTGCATCTCGTTCATTCTTGGCACAGCCGAGAGGTACGTGTGCAGCTAGTCGGGGTGGGATCAGGCTGTTGTGAACACGAACTGCCAGCCGTTCTCGAATCTCTGCCTGCAATCTTCTGGGGATGTGGAAGAGGTGCGACTACCGTTGGTGCGACTTCACCGGTCGCGGCGCCCCGAGTGGTGCGAGTGCGAACATCACCCTCGCCACGTCGCATGGCCCCTTGGTTGTTGACTTGTCAATCTGTTCGTTTCCTGGAGCTTTTTCTGTTGATTGTGCTTGTCATCGCCTTGCATGTGTGACATTGTTGGAGGACAGTCTACGCTCCCGCTTCGAAACCACGCATGCTTCAATCTTATAGCCTTGTCAGCCAGAGCACAGCCAAGGACGTTGCGTCTCACGGGCCCCATGCAGATGCAATGCGGCTGCCAACGCCTGCACGCGCGGTGCAGATTCCCGTTGTGCAGTCCACGGCCATCACGGCTTTATCTCCCGTACATCGCGCCCGGGTCATTCTTCCTACGGACCGGAGTCCCAAGGCATCCCCGGTCCTCCGTGGCTTCGGCTTTCCTCAGACCGTTGTCCGGAAGGCACCCGAAGCCAAGGCAGAGGCCAAGCCCGAGGCCCTGCAGCCCGTGCAGCCCGTGCAGCCCGAAGCGGCGAAGGAAGCTGCGGCCAGCAAGATGTCCGATGCTCCGAAGGAGCCACTCTCGGTCTCTCTGGACGGCACAGCAAGAGAGGAGCAGAAGGAGACTAAAGAGGCCACCAAAGAATCCAAGCTGGAGGATGTGCAGGCAGGGCAAGGAGAGCACACGGACTCGCCGGACCTTCTGGGCGATTTTCGCTCTCAAACCTCCACCCAGGCCTCCGAGGTCAAATGCGACTTTTCTCAGTGCGCTCTGTCAGTACCACTCGAGGAGGAGGTGCGTAGTGTGCGGCCCCTGCCGCCGCGGCCACAGCATGCGCCGGACCTCCGCGAGGTGTGCCTTGGCAGAAGAGAAGAGGAGAGGAAGAGGAAGAGGTCATATTCTTTCAGTTTTGGGTTCAAGCTCTGTGCATGGTGATTACGGAAGCTGCTTCTCGTCACGTGGTGTCCGCGTATTAAGGTTAGCAGAGCCCGTAACCGACGATCCGGTTGGCTTTGCTTGGGAGTTTCTGCCGGATAGGCATCCAGTCGAGGCCGGATGCAGTCCTCATCTAAATCTAACTGGCCTGTTCGATGTGTGTGTTCGAGGAGCACTTGGGTAGAGCAAATGCTGAGGATCGCAGTGGCAGACAGCACAAGTTTGGTTTTATGCTGAAAGGCCCTTTCCGTCTTCTTAGCCACGGCTGTAGTAGCTTGTGCAACATGCAGAGTTGACATAGAAGCGAGTTTGTGCAGAGCGGCTGTAGATGTTGCGACTAACAAGGGGGCCGAGGGAGTCTGTTAGTGCGAATCCGGCGGCAACATCGAACTCAGCATAGCAGCCTAGGCCAACGATCCAACGGATGCAAGACGTTTGTTGGCTCCGTGGCAGGCCGAGGGCGAGCGGCGTTTCGTCGGCGAGTGCCTCGCTCGCGTCGGGCTCGAGCTTCAGGCATGGGCCTCTTTTGCCAATCGTGGGGTTTCATTTAGGTTTATGATGCAGGCCTCAGGCCAAAAAAACTAGGGTGCAGAGTTCAGGGTTTACGGTGGCTATGTGAGAGCATCATTTAGTGAGGGCTTCTCTAAATGCGCGTCTCGCTTGGGTCCTCATTACGATAGTGACGGATATACCGCAAGGATCATAGTTGATATACGGAGCACCCGTGCTATGTTACATGGCACTGTATTGTATGAAAGTACAGACGCATGACACTATGTCACTATGCTGTAGTACAAAGTTATACTGCATTGTATGGTGCTAGATATTGTAGACTGCCACGTGACATGATTTGATTGACACTGGATTCTAGATTTCATTGCAGTCTTGTGCGTTCTGCTTAGCAGTCCTACCCGGTTACCACTACTTGTTTTACACATTTTTCTGGCACTCCTACCCCTACGATTCCTTTTTTTTCTCCCAATTTTTATTGGAACTTGGACTCTTTTTGCTCCTGTTTTCCGGGCCTGGCGTGCGCCAGGTGGCCGGGGGCCTTGCGAGGCGGGGCCGCTCTCAGAGGGCGTTCCGATGTGGTTTCTAGGGCCTTATCATTTATATATATAGATATATATATATATATTATTTATTTATTTATTTATTTGTATATATCATTTATTTATTTTGTTATCTATTTTCTTATATGTATACTTATTTATTCATATATATATATATATATATATATATTTATATGTGTATATATATATATATATATATATATATATATTTTTTATTTATTTGTATATATCATTTATCTATTTTATTATTTATTTATTTATATATGTATATTTATTTATTCATGTATATATATATATATATATATTATGTTTATTTGCATATATATATATATATATATATATATATATTTGCTACCCCCCCTCCCCCCCAAAGACCAAGGTTTTCAGATAAGAACATTGGTGGGTGCGTGCTCCCATGAATATAGAATTCTAATGCTGTTCTGGAAGAGTACTGAAATAATGCTTTTTTTGGTAGTGTTTTTTGTTTTTTGGTGGTATTGTTTTTTGCTGGTATTGTTTTTTGGTTTTCTCGCCTAGAGCCATTCTAAGCGCGATCACGACCAAAACGTTTTCCATTCAAGTGCCATATTCTGTTGACGGTGGAAAACTCGCCCCATGCCGTGTGCTTTATTAGCTTCAGTTGTAGTATGTGTTCAACCCGACAAACACATTTATTATTATACTATTGGTTTTAAGAAATCAATCTACTTGTAACGTTTAAAAACACCTACCAAGCATAGTACCTCGATGCCATCGTTTAGTGTGTACCTTTTAAAGAAAAGGTTAACTATTTGCCAGCTCAATATAGAATTGAACTTCCGGGGTTTGTTAATTGCTAGAGATGTGGCCCCACAAAGACATGTATTCTTAGACTATATGTTTGAGATATCAAGCATATAGTCTTATAGTTTAAACATGCCTATTAAGTATAAGACCTCGGTGTTACCATTTAGCATGCACCATCTCATTCTTGGAAAAATAAGGTTAAGTACTCAGCAATTGGTTATACAATCGAGTTTACAGGGTCTGTTAACTGCTAATTGCTAATCATGGCTTGAGATTCCTTGTTGCGATTTACCCAGATAGCTGCTTAATAGAAGCAGTATAGTAGAACCTTGGAAGCTATACTTTTGAATAGGAGCCAAACAGCCCGAAGAAATCTCTCTACAACTAAGCTATTCATGAAGTGCTTTGCCAGTTAACACGAACAGACAGAAAACTATATTTAGAATGCTTCATATGATATCACTACACCCAGGGATAATGACATACTTATACGGATTACTGACTGCAGAAGCATTATTTTTCTGTATGTTGGTAATTAGATGTTTGGTAGGTAGATTGAATTGAATCCTCGCATCAATTCAAGCATAGGGCTTGCTGAGCTAACAAGCGTCAGATTTAAATACAAGAATAGCATAGAGGGTTTGTTGTCTGCCGATCAATTAGAACTCAGAAAGCAATACATTCACAGTGGTGCCTGTAGGGACAACGTTATACTTATATGAAGATGTAGCTTAGTATATAGCTGTAGAATACTATTTTCACAAGTATGCAAGCAGCTGGATAGGCCAGATCCTCGGACCTATTTAGGCGGAGTGTTTATTTACTTATGTCAAATCAGTTCTTAGTATTATAATAATACGGTGCATTTAGTAGTCTTTCCAATAATTGAATCGAACATATACATTCATGCATAGATTGCTAGCTACATGGACGTTAAAGTATGTGCTTTTGATACCTCAGTAGTATACAATTCGATAGATTGAGCCCTCGAATATATTCTTAGTATTCCAACTGCATTTGTTGCATAAAACTAGTAGTGTTATCTGAATTTAAGCTGGGCGTAATTCAAAAGAATACGTTTAGGGAAGCTTAAAGGTAGTATCATACGTCTAGTTGATGACTTTCTCTTCATAGCCCTTAAAACCCATATGCGTGTACTCCAAAAGTCCGCAAACGCAGCGGTAGACTTTGACCCCTGAACCCAATTTTCACACTTCCACGTACGGCCCTCATGATCGATTTCAAGATAAACCCTATTGAGTTCAATTGGGCATATTGAACTCAATAGGCCTCCCGGTTCGAAGATTGAAGATTGAAGATCTCCCAGGAAACTTTTCGAGGGCATCTTCAATCTTCAATCTTCAATCCAGAAGGCCTATTTAATTCAATAGGGCCTATTGAATTGAATAGGCCTCCTGGAATGTACGACAGGAAATGGTATAAGGATTATTGTATGCAGGCTTGTATGAAAACCACAAGGGGGTTGTGTCATGCATGTTTGTCCCTACACCTTAACAGGGTTGTTGTTGGCACCCTGCCCCCCCAAAGACCAAGGACTATCGGCTAGCGTAAGTAGGCTTGTATCTAAAGCTCATATAGAAACCTTGGTAGAAACCTTGGTCTTTGGGGGGGGGGGGGGTACCATATATTTATGTATTGATATATTTGTTTATATATACATATATGTTTATTTATATAAAATCTTTATATTTGTGTGTATATATATATACATTTATTTTCATATTTATTTATATGTTTATTTGTATATTTATTTGTATATTTGTTTATAGATAATATATATATATACACACATGTATGTGTTAATATATATGAATATATATGAATATATATATTAATATATATTAATATATATTAATATATATTAATATATATTAATATATATTAATTAATATATATTATATATAATATATGTAATATATATATATATATATATATATATTAATATATATTAATATATACTAATACATATTAATATTTACATATATTATTATATATATATATATTATCATATTAATATATATAATTATATATTAATATAATAATACATTTATATAATATATATATTATATTAATATATATTATATTATATATATATAATATAATATTATATATATTAATATATTAATATATATATATATATATTAATATGTTAATATATATATATATATATATATTAGTATATATTAATATACATTAATAGATATTGATATATATATATATATATATATATATCAATATATATTAATATATATATATATATATATATATATATATATATATTAAAATATATGTATATATATATATATAAATATACATACATACATACATACATACATACATACATACATACATATACACAAGAGCGCCTTGCGCAGGACTCCCGCGCGGCCGCTTGGCTTAGGCAACCCCGCCACCCCGGTCTCAAACACAGAGACAAGCACCGGACATGGACGTGCATGTGAGTATGACTCGAGGAAGTTCTGGCATTGCAAAGACCTACGACAGTACAAGAAGGATGCAGGGAGAGGTTTTGCGTGGTCCGCGAAAGAGCCTAATCTTCTAGCACCCTCTCCAGGTTTGCTCCCTCAAGACCCGACAACTCCCTGCCATGGTTTCGGCGGTGCTGTCTGCTGACACCCTGTCACCGGAGAGACGCTGGCTGTGCCCTGAGCTTACAGCTCCTGCGTGCACTGTGAATCATGGTTTGGTGCGCTTCAGTCTGTCATACCCTTTCCGTCATGTCCTTGTGTGCTTCAACCCGTCCCTGTCTTGGTCCTTTTGCACTGTCACCATGGAAGATTGACGCGCAGGCCGGAGCACTGCGACGAACCCTGTGTTCAAAGGAGTGATAAAAGGCAATCTCTTCTTCCGGGTTTCTTCGCAGGCTTCCTCTCCAGCTTCCTCTCACGGTTTCGACCCCCCGAAGTTCACAAGTTTCCCTGTTTCCTGAATTCCCATTCCCAGCTACAAGCTATCGTAGTCAACCCGTAGGCTAGGAGCTTCCGAGGGTGTCAGGGCTTGATTCTCTAATCGAGAGATGGGATCCCAAGTCGACGGCCGGAGCGGCGTTTCCGAGGTCGCCCGGACGGAGTACCAAACAGTCTTTGTCAGCGACTGGCGGCCTTGGTCTCCCAGGCCTCAGGGGCATTCTGCGGATTTCCGCACCGCCCTGCATTCCTGTGGTGTTGTCACTGGAACTTCCTATCAAGCCAGATCAAGTGTCTTCCAAGACTGCCCTCCCCACATCTCCCGGAAACGCACATACGTAACGTGACAGCACTCCCGAAGCCGAAGGAGTTCACAGCTGCTCAGCTAGTCCTTGAGCTTCGCTTCGTTGTGTTTGCACCGCCTCCCTTTCACTACCCAGTTCAGAGTGGCTAGCGAGTTCAGAGTCTCTGCTCGCAGGAGGACGCGGCGCTGCGAGATGTAGTGGATGCAGAGGTCTGTATCACGCTCTGAAGAGAGAACTGAAAAACAAGCTCGGTGGCTCGGCTCCTTGCAGTGCGCAGGTGTCCCTGGAGATCTGGAAGGCAGTGCAAGGCCTGGTGCCGGACACCTTTCAAGGCGCGTCAGATCCGGATTTCGGAAACAAAAGAAGACACGAGTTCCAGTTCCGAGGCTGCAGCCTCACCGGTCCTCATCCCAGGCTGCGGCTGCTGCAGTGCCCCGGCCAGATCTTGTGAATGGTCTTGCGACAGTATCGCGCAGATGTTGCAGCGCGCTATGGACGAGGTGCCTCAATGAACAGCTCACTAGATGGCATGCCGCAGCACCGAACTACTGGTAGTGCATGAGGCTGCTGTGAAACTTCTGACTCTCACACTACCAGACAGGCTGTTAACTGCTGCAAAGGCATTAATTAAGACAGGTGGGTGAGGAAGGGAGCCAAGCATTCAGGAGGCCAGCTTCGATCTTAGGCAGTTCTCAGTTCGTGTTGATGCAGATATAAGGTACCGCGGTGAAACTGCTGCGGAAGGCCCTCGGTGTACGCACGAACTGCACATTAGAGACCTTCCGGTGACAAGACTGTAGCAGATTTCGCTTCCAAGACGACCACGCAGGTGACCATCCTGTTCATGCCGACACTCCTCTCGCAGCTCCTGATTCGCGCTTTCGCCGAACCTTGAGAGTTCCGGCTAAGTCGTTCCATTGCCAAAAAAATTCCAGGACTCCGAAGAGTAGGCCCTAAGCCCGGTGCTCGACAGCTGATGTGAAAGTCACGATGAGCCGGCAGAATGCTGTAGCTCCCGGCGAATGCTTCAAGACTCACGGGTTCAAGGCCGAGCGCAGACCGCCTGCCTTCACCCCTTCACCTACTGCTTGAAGTGCCGAGGTATTCTCGCCTGACCGTCCTCGTGTATGCCTCTTGCCCCAAAAGAGCTTTTGCCGTTGCGACGAGCCAGTGCGCTGCAATCCATAGACTCTAGACATACCATTTCGTTTGCGTCGAAGCACAGACTGGAGTGATCTGTTTTGTGGTCCCGGAACGTACAATTCCTGAACAAGGACACAGACCTGCAGCCAGCCCCGGGCAGTATAGCCTGGCCGACAACAGACTATCCCAAACAGAAGCCGAGACACGGTATGGATCTAGGACGAGACTTTTTTGCGCATGGGCGAGTATCAACCGAACATCTGCGAGGGCACCGGGCTAAATCATGTAACCCCATGTAACTGAAGTTGGGACCTCTCGCAAGCAGCCGTGCTCTAAGGTCAACTCTGGCTTTACTGGTGGAAACCTTCGCTTTGTGGATGATGGCGTGGATGTGGAGCCAAGAGCGGGGACTGTCGTGGCCCCTTGGCGCATGCGCGCCGGCAGGGCGTGGAAGGAACTCGAGTTTCTACAGTAGCCGTGAGCTTCAAGTGCAGTCCTCTTGGTGGGTGTTGTTGGCTTTCGGCATGGTGCGGCATGGTTATGGTCCAAAAAATTAAAGGTTGAGACGGTGCATCACGACGGGGTTCCACAAAAAGCCTCGAACCATCTTAAACCCGAACTTCCTGACCTCGACCCGAGACTCTGGACCCTAAGCCCGAAGCGTTCAAGCTCCAAAGGTCCAAGCCCTCAAACACCACTCCCCCCCAAAAAAAAAATAAATCCTGAGCCCGATTTAATTTTAAGTCGAGATCTTCGACCATGGCCTTCTCCACCAAGCTGCCGCCGTCGTCTCTGGGTCCAAGCAAGTCGTGAAGCTCTCCGTGCTGAGCCTTGGCATACGGTTGCTGATATACATCCTGCATGACCCGTGATAAAGAATCTACCATAATTCCCATAGTTTAGGGTCTTTGAGGTAATGCAGGATTTATATCATCAACCGTAGCTCAGTATTGGGGATTTCGAGCTTGGGATTTTCAATAAGGGAGTTTCCGAAAATAGGGGACCCTACGAAAGCAGCCTAATTAGTAGGATCCTTATTATAAGGACCCCAAAACAAGGTACCCCTATTGTTCGGAAACTTCCATAAAGACTTCGCGGAAAGTTTCGAAGGCCTCGCTTCAGTAACGGGAGCGTGTTTTCGTTTCGAGACGGTTGGGTATGTTTTCTTTCGAAGTCCGAGTTCTTGGAGTTTCCCTTTTCAATGCTAGCCCTTTTCAGGTATGAGGCCGAAGCCGAGACTAAGCTGCCCCATCAGACGACGACGGGTGCTGATATGGAAGTCAGGCCTCTTGTGACGCCTCGTCAGGGGAAGGCACTCTTGTCTCAATCTCTGTGGGTTGGGTTATGAGACGGAAGGTTTGCCGGATGCATTCTGCATCGCTGCAGTTTCTGCGCAGCTTCCAGAAGAGGATTCTATCGAAAGCCTCAGGCAAAATTAGGAGTTATCCGGCAAGTCTCCGTGAGAACCGGCGGAGGGCGATGTGTTCTACATTCTAAGCTTACTGAACTCCGAAGGCAGCAGGACCGTCCAAAAGACCCTGGCTTCAGGTGGCCCTTTGTGCTGGCTGCGAGGGCTGTGGCACGTGGCTTTCGCGTGGCCAGTCCGGCTCCTTAACATGAATAGTTCTGGGGTGTGACACGGTTGGTATTATTGCATCCGAGTCAGGCCTTGTCAGTCGTGCTTCGCATGAGCACACCGGTGGGCGGCCTGTTGCACTGAGGAAGTGTGCGACTTCATCACGCGACCAGCTTTGGTTGAGCGTGACTGGGAGTGCATTTTGGTTTGAGCATCTTTTTGGGGAGCGCGCCACAGAATCCTAAGACCCTTTGCGTCAGAAGAGCTCCTTCAGTGGAAACATTCGATGGTCCCACAGTTTTGTGCCCCCTCCATCCCACACTGATCGGAAAGAACTCCGAGAGCTGTTTCTCTGTCTCCGCATCGGATCTGAGATCCGAGGCACTCTGGGCTTCGTGGGTACGAAACGCCAGGAGTTGAGTCGACTGGTTGCGGACGCAAAGGGACGTGGGCCGCAAGATGCGCGACGACTGGAGGAGTGAGACTTGGAGAAACGCACGCGGGGATGCTTGTAGGTGACTGCGGCAGTCTGCGATGCACGCAGGAGCTGCTGGACTTCGTCTTGGCTTACGACACGGAAGATCTTGGGGACATCTTGGGAGGCAGTGGCTTCATGCCCATGACAATGGCCCTGGCAACGCCTGGGCTCAGGTTGAAAGCATACAGGGCCTGGGAAGCAGCACGCTGCCTTCACGGTGATGAGAAGTGCATCTTACTAGGGGAGACCTTGCTGAAGGATACCTCCGACCCTGACCCGGAGGTACGGTTGGCTTGTGTGGGCTCTTATTTCTTCCTCATACCCAACAAACATGAAGAGCTGCGGTCTCAAGCGATCAACAAGGTCCTGGAGCAGGAGGAGGATCCCGCGGTGCGTCACCGGGCCGTGCAGGGCATCGCCAACCTGGTACACGCCGCCAAGCAAGTTGCGGAAGGGGAGGAAAGGTCGGCGAGGCTGGCGACACTCCGGGAAAGCTATGCAGCCACTTTGAGGAAGATCGCGGCCGCCGAAGCTTCTTCTTCCTTTGAAACTTCTCTGGCCCTGCGCGCCCTCGCGGAGCTGGCCATGAGCGAGGACACGCCGCCGTGAGCGGAAACTGTGATGCTGCCTGCAACGCAGCCAGTCCTCCTGTTTGGTTGCTGGCGCTTGCAGACACTCTTAGGCCGACGCTTTTTTAACCCGGTTTCAACCTCGTAGAGGGTTGCTGGCGCTGGAGCCTCGCAAGGGGGGTCCGTACAGGCGGCCATGAAAAGCGGCTCGGGCTCGGAGAAACGGAGCCTTCGTCCCTTTCAAGGGCTGACTGCGCGCCTTGCGGCTTGTGCTTGCGGCTTTGGAGGTATGTGCAGAAGAGAGAGGACTTGACGCAGCTCCACAGCCGACTTGAGGAGCCACGGGACACGGGACTTGGAGCGGGTAAGCGGAGTGGCAGATTTCGAGCAGGGATGGCAAGTGAATACGTACTGCGAGGCTTTCGCAATGCCGCAGATTTGCAGGGTCATCGGGTCATCGATGTAGCCACAGGGTGTCGGATGAAGAGCAGCAGCCCCCTGGAAAGGCCTCGGAAACGGAGAACATCCCGCTCCAGGTCTTGCGCGTGGTGCTCGAGGCGGGTTCGTCAGCCTGACGATTGCAACCGAAAGACAAGCTGCGGAGCCTAGCTCCTGCAAGGCTAAGCAGGTGTCTTCTGATGTGTGACAGGCATGCAAACTTGACTCACGCAACCTTCCAAACCTGCAGCCACTGCAGGAGACGCTGCAGGAAAGAGTTCGCCGGGGTGGACAAGGCAAGCAGCTGTCACGGTTTCCGATGGGGACGGCCCTGGCCAAACAGGCATTTTCGTGCAAGCTGGAGTGATGATGTCCATGGGCAACAAGAAGGTGGTAAAGATCGCATGCAGGCCGCTCTATCATTACATTCCAGTCTGACTGTAGTTCCTGCTTCGAGACCTGTGCTTCCCCTGCTTGCAGTTGCGACGGCAGTGAGGGCCACCTGTCTGTATGTTGGGATTGGGATGTCAAGCTTGAGCCAAAGTGCGACCCGTAGTCTGTGGAGCATCGCGGTTCCATGTTAATTTCGTAACAGTAGTGCTTCGTGCGAGAACTGCGACGGCTGCCGAACCATGAGTGCAAACAGTCACTTCATGCTTCGTGAGTAAACAGACCTCTTTGAAAAAAAAGCACTGCGTGCCAAAGCGGTGGTGCAGCATGCTGGCAAGCAGCATGTACAGCCTGTGAAGCATGCACAAATTCAGTCGATTCCCGCTGCAGTGCAGAGGGTGACTGGAAGGGGGCAGACGAGAATGCTGCAACCCACGAAGCAGCCTCTAAAATCCGTTCCATTGATTCCGTTTCTATATTCTATGGTGCACATGCCCCCTTGTAGCCGATTTATGGGGTTAATTCATCCGAGTCCCCGGCTTCACGGCTTCATGCCCAGCAACCTGGCTAGCTGACCACGGAGCTTATCATATCGATCGGCTGAAGCCTTGTCGGGAGCAGTGGATGTAATGTGCGGGCGTCTGCACGGAAGCCAAATACTTCGAAGAGTCCAGCAGCTGCTGAGCATCTCGGCCACGTAGACTTTCAAAGGCTGCAGTCCGCGCCGAATGATCATGTCTAGCTGACAGCACCATGGTGCAAGTCTCCAAGACAAGACTTCCTCAACCAACTCCCCTGCATCGCCCAGCTCAATTATCCCAAAAATCCGGTCCGGCAAGTGTACCGCACTCCGAGACACACCGTTGAAGCTCGAAGCCCAGAACCTTACATGGTTGAACAGTTCGAGCAGCCCTCACCGTTGCATGTGCCGGACGACATGAAATGGCATTGCGCCGCGCTGGCGCTGCTGCCCACCGTCGTCGAATCTGCCGACAAGGTGAACTTTACCATCGAGGTCCGGGTCAATGTCACCGGTGCGTTCCTGCAGTCTGTTGAGTCTTCCGACAGCCCTTCCACTTCCCAGCTCATACAGGCCCCGTGCCCTTCGCTACCCAAGTTTCGAACGCCATCCCTGCATCAAAGTGCTCTTTGCAGTCTTGTTCATTCAGGTCAAGCAGAAGATCGTGCCTCTTTCATGGGATCCCTCCGTGGAAAGTGCGATGGTTGCGGCACGAAGGCCGGCAAGCGCCACTGTTGTGCTTTCGTGAGGGGGCGTTTTTTCATGCATGACGACCACCCTGGAGGTTCGCCGCACAGAACGACCTACAAACAGGAAGCCACGTGAATGCAATGTAGACCTAAGATCTGCTTGGATGTCGGGAAGTGCTGCATCGCCGAGGAGGTTTGGAGCACTCTGCAAGAGTTGACCAACAGGATGCCTTCCTTGTTTGCTGACGATATCTGAGGCGTATGGGCGTTGGCCGAGGATTTCTGATCCCTCTGCACGCGCGTACATGCTGGTAACTGCAAGCATGCCCACCGGATGTGGCTGCGCCACTCGAGCTTATATTCCACATTTGCAGACGTGGGCCTGTCTGAACGAAGGAGATGGGCTTGAACCGTGCTTGGACGGCCGCGAAACATGGGCAGTCACCGGAGGTGACACTTGGAAGTGCAAGGTGAAACCCAGCCCGAGGGTGGACTGACCATGCTTCATCTTCCGCCGCCCAGAGACTGTTCGGGGGATTTTGAGGGCGTGAGAAGCTGTGTCACAGCTGTGAGATGGGGTGCCGGGCCTGCCCCAAGGACGGAGATGCCGGTGCACGTTGGAAGCCGAGTGCGTTCGCCCGAACTGCCAACAGGATGGGGCTAGCAGGGAGGGGCAGACTTCTTTCACATACCTCGCTTTGTGTCCTGTGGGTGCATGAAGAGAGATTCTACTCACCCGAGCTCGTGTCGGTTCCGGTTCCGTAGGTCCGGCTTCAGCCGCAGTCATGGGTGATCCAAAATCATTACACTGCCCGCGCCCGGACCCACATGACGCTATAGGTATCGGAAAGCTTGCGCAGCGTCGGATGGAAAGACCCACACCATTCAGAGCTCGGGTCGATGAGGCTTGCGAGGATGCGACAAGGATCTCAGTCTCTTCAAATGATCGGCTCGATCTTCGATTCGCAAGATACCGTACCGGGAGAGCCTGAGGTCAAAAGTACCTCCTTTTGCTGAGGAACGTGAAGGGATGCCAACCTTGCTAGTGTCAGAACACACTGACAAGCTGCAACACACTTTGCTCTCAGTGTTCTCGCCCTTGCGACCTGCAGCTATGTTCGCGTTATGCATGGGCAAGTCTTTTTGACGGTATCATGTCCCTTAGTGGATTCGCGGGTTCGAATGCTGTGCCAGTTCTTTTGCAACTGAATGCCTGGGCCTGCGTGCCGCGTGAGCACCGATGAATCCTCCACCTCGGATCTCAGACATCGCTTGGCATACAGCCGCCAAGAAGAACATGCCATTGCAAAAAACCGCCAAAATGCATCGAAACTCTTAAGAAGCCTTGAGCCTTGCACAAGAGCATGCCCGAGACTCCGAGCTAAGTTTCAATCCGTTGCTGGTATCGGTGAGGAGCAACAGTCTTGTCGTGATGAGTCATGGTCTGTGTTGCTTGTTCCGAGCTCTTCGATGGCAGGGCAGTCCGTCATCTCTCTGTATTTGGGCCACGACTCGGGCACCGTGGTTTCGCAACCAGCATCTCACTTGTGTTGCCACCTTTTGTGAAAGCTGACGAGTTTTCTTCTTCTCATGGCTCAGGGTTCTCTGAGGTATCACTGTCAGTCAATACGGCCGCATCCAGTGTGTCCTCGAGTTGGAGAGATATTTCAACATTAGATATTTCCGCCCCAACGTCAGCTCCCCAGCTGACAAATATCAGGGGGAATGGCACAAAGCGCTTCGTGCCGTGGAGAAGCACTGCGAGTATGAGGATGGGCAAAAGCCTCAGCATTTCACCGATGGTGTTATCGTCTTTGCCGGGGACTTCGAGTGTTACCAACTTTGGCTAAGAGGTGTTGTGACTATGATCTTCACTGTGGAGCGATGGCATATGGTCGATCATCATGAGGCACATGCACTCCTGGGCTACTATTCTTCTCCCTTCCACTCCAACCCCTCTCGAACTACCATGGTCTTGTCCTATGACTCCGCCGGCAACGATGGGTCCTTTAATGTCTATGTGGCATCAAAGGGGAAGTTCCAGCGCATTGCGCAGCTGGCGTATTCCCTTGGTAATGCATACGATTTAGTTGGCGTTCTGATGCCTGAAGTCTCAGGCCATCCATTGACGGATTTTGTCGACTGCAACGACACTGACGTCCTGAACACCTCGTCGGATGCGAAGGTAATACGGGTGGGTGCTTACTACGAGAAGGCTTATCAGAAGCTGAGTTGGGCAGGGAAGCTGATGGGCTACTCTGCTGTTGGCGAAGTCCGTGAGGACCTGCGCGAGTCCATGCGCTTCCTGCTCGAGGAATGCCGTTCCTTCATTCCGGGAGGTATGGGTTTGCCGCTGCCCATCGTGCGCGCTGCCTGCGAGTCTCTGGATGGCCAAAGGGCCGTCGCGGCGACGATGCAGTCGGAATTCGAGAAGTTCTTGCTCAGCCGCTTGGAGGCCTTCCTGCGCTTCTTGGGGTGCCTTGGCTCTTTCTTCGGCCTGGCAAAGCACAGCATAGCAGAAGCAGGCGGCAGCTTGCGGCTGAGGCCCGGGAAGGTCGACAGCATAGTTCTCAGTGGTGGTTGTGCCCTCAACGTTCTGACCAACCAGGTGTCCAGGCAGCACTCAGCACGTCTCAGCACCGTGAGCAACTTGTGACTCGTATGCAGCACCTAGTCTTTCCGGGATGCGAGAGCCTGAGGTTGTGCATGACAAGTTGTCGTCGGGCAAGACTGGCTCTTCGGCTGTCTGCTCTGCTTTGCTCATGCATCGTCCGTTGCCGAGTGCCGAGCTGAGGCGGGGTGAAAGGTCGCGATCCAGACTTCTTCGTTCCGATGGCACCCAACGACAGCGGTCCCTTGGCTTGGACGATTCGGCTTGCCATCAATGCTCGGGCAGGGCTGCTTGCTCTACAGTTCCTGCACTCTCCGGTAGCGTCTTTCTCTCCGGCTGCGTGTAACTTGGGAATGGACATGTGCTAACACACACACACAGACAGATGCACAGACATGCATGCATGCATGCATGCATGCGTGCATGGATCGCTGGATCGATGGATGGATGGATGGATGGATGGATGGATGGATGGATATATGGATGATGTACATATGTAATTATGTATGTATGTGCGTAATAAGAAAACCATGATGCGCACATGCGTGTTTTCTGTACACTCACGTCCAGTGCCATGTATCCTTTCCAAAATTGCAATGTCAGCCTAGACCTTAGATTCATCAACATGTGTTGGAGTGTCCGGTGGTTTGTTTTCGTGTGAGCATTGAATGCTCGCATCTGATTTGAAGCCATGAGAGGATTCCCAGAAATCGTTAGAGCAGTATTAGACACTATATGCAGAAGCTGCTGAAACTCTCGGATACATGTCCATGCGCCCTGCAGATCTATCTTGCCCAGGCTGGCCACCTTCTGGTTCCCTGTGTGTTCTTCCTCACTCTGCTCTTTTTTGTGCCGTAAGTAGCTCCCGCAGAGGGCAAGGGAAAGGGGTGACATATCGCTCTGTGGCACAGGGAAAACAGGGAAGAAAGAACCAGAGTGGGCGACAGGATCAATTTTATTGATAATAGGAGAAGAGAAGGCAAACGGAGAGGTACAGATGAGCTCTCCTCTCTTCTCCGTGCCTCTTGCTTCCCTTCTTGCTCTTCCTACTTGTTTTGCTTTGCTTTATGTGTCTCGGCCACCAGAAATGTGTGGTGCCCGGAGGCCATATACTTGCTTCACATCACACCCCCTGAAACAAGAGAACGGAACAGAGATGGGAAAGACATCCTGGTCCTTTTCCGTGCATTCTTCTTCCCTCACCTCCATTCCATTTTTGGATTGTGCTGTGTTTGCCTGTGTCTCTCTGTTTCTCCGCTGCTGTACACGACAAGGGGTCAAAGGGTAACCGAAGGAAAGGGCAATGGGGAAGATGTAATCAGAGTGGTGGCCAAGTGCACCCGTACCGTGTCGTCACCATCTTTGACATCAGCAAGCTTGCTCTTACAATACAAAGTGGAACCATCCTTGCAGGAGGAAATTCTCCCTCTCTGTGAAAAACAAGCTACAGCGTGAAGGGGACTTCGCGTCCCTTCGTTCTCATTCTTCTCGCTTCCGGTTCCTTTTGTGTCTTGCTTCTTGTAACGAGGGACGAGGGACAACTGTGTGTGCTAGCAACCCGAAGTTCCTCCTTCGACATCGAAGGTGTCGACAGCTAAAACATCGAAGGTGTTTTCGCTAAATGTGTTCTATCCGTCGCCGTTACGGCTAGAACCCCTTTGGGGGGTAGAAGTTTTTCAGAGTACTATAGGAAAGGAAACGGGGGCTAGGCCCCCGCTCGCCGCTATGGAAGTGGAGGAAGTTCCGGATAGTCCGGCTCTGTCCGAGTTGGAGGCAATGCTAGATGCTCAGCCACGGCCACCGGAACCGGAAGAGGAGCACCGGAACCTCCTGCTACAGAGGTGCCGCGACTACCTGCTAGAACAGGGGTTCCGCAATCCGGAGCTAGCCACGGTACGGGACGAGGACGTTTCGGGCCTGGCTAAACAACTGGCCCTCGAGCTGAGGATCCCCTTTAGTGCGGAGCTAGAACGGTTGCTCCAGTTCTTGATCGAGGAAGCTAGAGGAAAAGCCCCAGTCGAGATAAGAATGGCTGGATTCCACCGGGAGCCTCTCTACTGGGCGGCCTTGGAACCGCCGGAGAAGAGGCTACGTGGTGCGGACCCGGAAGAGCAGGAAGATCCTGCTAGACCCCCTCCCGGGGAACGGCGCAGGAAGCTGATCCTAGAGGGAAGTGTGCTACAAGCCAGGGGAGAGAAACTTCTGGAGGTGTGGACACTTCGGCTACACGAAGAACTCCGGGAATGCCGGGCACCTGTGCTAGATCAACTTGAGAGCAGCCTGGATCCGCAACGTGCCGCCAGCATGCTAGCAGGCAGCACGCGAGCCACCACCTTCAAGCGCTACCTCACTACCTACAAAAGGTGGCGGCTATGGCTCTGGGAAGCTAAGCTCAAAAAGCCGCCGGGCCGCCCCGCTGACTTGGTGGACTATCTGGTGGTCCGGCGAGATGAACCATGTGGACGCTCCATACCAGCTTCCATCTACAGTGCTATACTTTGGCTGGAAAAGGTCGGCGAGTTCCCAGCTGAAGAAAGAGCTACCGCCGGACGTCTTGCACTGGCCGCTAGAGACAGCATTACAGAAGAGCTTTCACAGGGAACACCTCTTACGAAAAGGGCGCCACGCTACCCCGTCTTCATCCTAGTGAAGCTAGAAGATCTGGTCCTAGATGCTACACAAGCTGTGGGGCATCGCATATGGGCCTGGGCCAAACTGGTGAAGACATGGGCTACACTCAGGTGGTCCGACCTTCAGGCCATTCTGCCACATGAGCTACGGCTAGTGGAGGGGAGGCTAACCACCACGCTACGGAAGACGAAAACTTCCGGCCCCAACAAGAAGGTCAAGGAGCTGCCTGTGTGTGTATCTGAGCACGCATTCTTCAAGCGCAAGACGTGGCTACAAGTCGGCTTCCAGTTGCTAAAGGAAAGGGCACCCTACAAGCGGGACTACCTTCTCCCACGTATGGGTAGCCAAGGCATGCTAGAGACCAAGATCGCGGAGTACCCGGACGCGGTGGTGGCTACAGCAGCACTGCTACACCTTCTTGGTCTGCCCTCGGTGGTCCAAGGGTTCTGGACTGAGCATAGTGAGCGGTCGGTCTTGCCAACAGGCCTCTCGCTACAAGAGACGCCACCTGCCGACAAAGATTTGCTAGGTCGTTGGAAGCCAGAGAGCTCCGACACGTATGCTAGAACCTTCCCAGGAAGGGTCGCCCGGCTGCAGGCAGTTTTTGCCAAAGCTGCAAAAGGACCCGGCCACAGCGAGGTGCTAGACGAACGCGAGATAGGCACTTCGCTGCGGGACTGGCTTGTTGATAAGAAAGGGCTGCCGCCGGCGCAAGCTGAGTGGCAGGCTCGGGTGCTAGAAATCACCTGGAAAACGGATGTGGAGCTAGATGGACCGGTGGCTGGAGTGGTGCCCCCGCCGATTTTAGCTCCTCCACGTCGAGTGGGGACAGCAGCAGCTCCAGCGAGGAGCGGGCACCCAAGCCTGCTAGACTGCAGGACAGGCAGACGGCTTATGTGGTCGTGGGACAGCCGGGAGCTGTCTTTAGGCTGCATAAAGCTAGCGGGAAAGGATGCTGGATGGGCCAACGCCGCTACTTTCGGAATGCTAAAAATTTTGACGCCCTTCCAGCTAGCTCGGAGTACACCCATGTGTGTCGCCTCTGCTGGCCCCAGCAAGACGGCACGGCCGGGGAGCTAGAAGACGGGTCGGAGACCTCCTCGGCTCACTCGGGGGATGAACCGCAGCTAGAGGTAGAACTGGCTGCTTGAGAGCTTCCCGGGCCGGAGTACAAATGCTCTGGCTAATGGGGACCTGGCGACTGCCACGGCTACAGAAGTTTGATTCGCACGCTAAAATAGATTTTGGTGCGTGTTCCTGTTTCTCTTCTTCTTCGCTCTCTCGCTAGGGGGGGGGTCTCCTCAGGGGAGAAGACAGAAGAGGAGAGAACCACGTTTCGCTACATGTTGCCGCGGTCTTGCTACATGTCCTTGCTGTCGCTGTGTGTGCTAGGCTTGCCTCGGGGGTTCCCCTTTGTTCCCGAACCCCATTTCGAAGGTTGCGAGGCGGGCTAGGTCAGGCAGTGAGTGCGCAAGGGTACGCTAGTGTGCTGCAGCTTTGAGACGCATTCGCTACAGCTTTCTCTCTCGAGAAGACCCGTGCTAGGTAAATCCTGGCGAAGCAACAGCTAGCAGCCATCGGCATGGCTAGCTCACAGGTGCCCGCTACAGAGCACTCGGCGATCGACTGCGCTACAGCGGTCAAGCACTGGGTGCAGTCCGACAAGGACACGCTAGAAGGCGTGCTCCGAGCTCGGCTGCACCCGGACGAGCTGCAGACGCTAGTGGACACCGTGCGGAAGGCCCAGGTCCCGCTAGGCCTCCGTGCAGCTACTACGGAAGGGGCCTCCAAGCAACGCTTCCCGGTGGGGTCCCGCTACAACAACCGCCTTGACTGGCTGGCGAGCTTGACCTCGCGAGACGACCTCACAGCAGAGGAGGAGAAGGAGCTAAACGAGGTCGAGAAGGCCCTGCTAGTGGATAAGATCCACGGAGTCGTTCAGCAGGAGCCGCTACCGGCTGAAGAAGTCATCGACCTCGCTACCATGAAGGCTCAGCATCTGGCGGAGCTAGAGAAGAGACAGGCCGAGCTGCTAGCTGAGTTCCAAGCGGAGCAGCTAAAGCAGCAGCAAGCCCAGGAGGCTCAGCTACGCCAGACGCTAGAGGAGATGCAGCAGAAGCAGCAGCAAGAGCTAGAGCGAGCACAGTTGGCCCAGGCCACACAGAGTGCCGCTAAAGCCGCTGAGGCACCGCGGGGCAGCAACGACCCAGCCCCCGCTACTGCCGCTCCAACCGCTGCTGCTACAAAGGACGATGCTCGGCGCCGCTCCGCTACGCCCAACAAGATGGGGCTAGGGGTCTTCCCACAGCTACAGGAAGCAAACCCCCTACCCGCTCGCACGTTGGGTCGCCAGGAGCTAGTCCAAGGACGAGCGGCTACAAACCAGAGGCGCTCGCATACACCGAGACGGTCGCTAAGCAGGTCGGGGGGCCGCCAGCAGCAGCCACCCACAGCGCTACCAGACCCCAACCGCACTTGGGACGTGGTGCTGCTAGCGGCTAGGCCCATGAGACCGACCTTGCGCGATGGCCCTCTCACTTCGCTACATGACAGCCGCTCCGTGGCCGAGCTACGTGGCACAATCGAGCTCGTCATGCCACCGCCAGTGG